AGTCTGATGGTCACACTCGACACAGACGAGGTTACCGCAGGTCCACTACAGGGTATCGGATAAGCTCGACGAGGCGAGATCCGGAACAAACCACCACTACTGCGCGGACAAATTGTGCGCATATCCCACGACTTCTCCAGATCCATTACACGATATGACATTCGCTGTTGGTATGGTGACCGGGTTAGAGCAGGAACTCAACTACAACCGAAAAGAACCGGGCGATAAGGAAGCGGCCATGGTGGAGACCGACGCCCTGCGAGCGGACGGCACGCCGCGCAAACGCAAGAGGGCCCGGAAAGTGAACTCGGATCGGAAGTTTGAATGTACACATGAGGGCTGCGGCAAGAGCTATTCGCGTGCGGAGCATCTCTACCGCCACCAACTGAATCGTATGTCGGACGTCCTGCAATCGCAAGCCTGTCTCTGCGGATGCGAATGACTGATCCATGACCTGCTCTAGACACTCCCAAGCAGATTTATCGATGCGACTTTCCTGACTGTTACCGGACCTTTGTACGGCAAGATCTCTGTATTCGGCATCGTGAACGGCACACGACACAAGGCTCTCAGCTTCAGAAACGGGACCATTTCGCGCAAGCGGCCTCGCAGAACAAAGAAAAAAGCCAGTTTCCTCACAACGTGGTCCATAATACTGTTCCGCAGATGGGCAGCACCCAGCAGCCGCCTATCATGCCTGCGACTACCGTTGATTTCACATCGGCGCGCCCAGCAACCACCTTTCCAGAAGGAGGGGTAGAGACTCTGACGCCTCAGTCCGCCAATGGTTCCAGCAAGCACATACCAGTCTCTTCGTCGGGCTCGATTTCGCTTGGCCGACCCCTCAATTACCAGCCTTTGGGTGCTCAGCATGGCGTGGGGACGCCAGACTCGACGGCATCGAGGTCTAACAGCTTGAGCAACCATAGCATCAATTCTCCTCCTGGTCAAGCAAATGCTCCCTTCAGTCCTTCAGACCTGCAGAAGCCAGCGTATGTGCCGCTCACCGGCCGCCACTCCATAGATCTGTCGGGCAGCCCTACTGATCAGACGCGTCAACTGACCGGACTGCATCCCGTTTCTAGGACAAGACCTCAAGATGCTGCAGCATACTCCATGCCAACCGACGTCAATGGCTCTTCTGGAGTTCAGTCGCTACCGTACGGCTCTCCGACAGGCTTGCAAATGCCTGTCGGTGGATTTTCCGACCTTTCGATGAATACCATGCCGCCCTCCACCCAAGCGTCGCTAGAGAGTACAACCACCATTACTGGACTAGATTCCCTATCGGGAATGATCGCTTCTGCGGATCCCGGATTCGACCCAATGAACTCTTGCGTCTATCCGATCTTCGGCGGCGAAACATACAACAACCGCTCCCCCTTTGCGATGGCCGATGACTTTACCGCGTGGCTGTTCAATGAGCCTGTCCCGGGATCGTCGTCCCTGGCCTATCCTCCCACGACTTCCATGATTCCGAACTATCTGGATCCCACACAACTGCAGAGTCAGTTCCTCATCGGCGAGCCAGCGTTCGGCAGTTTCCTGAATGGCGTTCTTCCGCAACATCCAATGAGTGTCACCAGTATCTTAGATCCAGGTTCGCCCCAGGCGATCATGTCGGAGGAGAAGCGACAGGAGTTACTACATCTCATGGCCACTCGATTCAACGAAGCCGCATATTCAGCGGTGGCAAAGCGCAAAGATGCTCTGATGGATGGAGACGTTGACGATGATAGCCATGTTCTGAGCTTGCGCATGATGCAGACATATATCGGGTCCTACTGGTATCACTTTCATGCGCAGCTCCCCATTCTTCACCAACCCACTTTTGTCGCGGATAAGGCGCCAAATCTGCTTCTCTTGGCCGTCATGGCCATTGGAGCAGCCACGCTGGACAACATCCATGGGCAAGAGGTGACCGAGACGGCTGCGGAACTAGCCAACTTCATAGGTTGGCATCTGCGATGGGAGATCTTCATGGACGCTGATTTCCGACCGCCAGCCAAGCTCTGGGTCTTCCAGGCTTTACTCCTGCTCGAGGTCTTTGAGAAGATGTACTCGACTCGCGCATTGCACGAGCGCGCGCATATCCATCACGACACCACGCTGACGCTGATGCGTCGCGGCAGCTCGTTGATCGGCCGCTCCGCGCTCGACTCACCCGCAAGCTTCAGAGATGACCGGCAGGCCCGGTCCACGACAGGATCTGCCTCGAATTCCGAATTTGCCGCTGACGATTCCTGGACTCACTGGATCAAAGCGGAGGCCACCAGACGGGTTGCATTTGCTGCCTTTGTGCTGGACTCAACCCATGCCACTATGTTTGGGCACTCGGCGAAGATGGTGGCCCATGAGCTCCGGCTCCCGCTGCCCTGCGACGAAGCCTTGTGGTCAGCCACCAGTGCCGCCGAAGTTGCTCGCGTCCAATCTAGCCTGCATGCAAACGGTGTCAAGCCGACCATGTTTCTCGACGGGCTCAAGAAGACGCTCAACGGACAGCGTGTTACCACGAATGCGTTCGGCCGCACTATCTTGATGGCCGGTCTTCTTAGTGTCAGTTGGCATATGAATCAGCGCGACCTGCAAGTCAGCTCGCTGGGCGTTCCGCAGGCCCTCGGTGGACGAGATAAGTGGCGATCAGCCCTTTTGCGAGCTTTTGACAACTGGCGGCGTGATTTTGACGAGGCCCTGGCTCAGGCAGGACCTCCCCCGTTCCCCAATCAATACCGGCGGCATTTTCTCGAAGACGAGGGCGTTTTCGAGTCGCGGGACGTCCTACATGGACTGGCTCACATGGCCTCGCACGTCGACATTGTGGACTGTCAGATATTCGCCGGAGCTGGCCGACTCATGGGGCGATCGATCACTCCGCGGGACTACAGCGCTGCCCGTGAGAAGATGACCGAGCGATGGGCCACCAAGGCGTCAGCGCGAGACGCGACGTTTTACGCCCTCAAGTTTCTCTCCGAATGTCTTTTGAATAACCGGAGTGTATCCGAAGAAAGCGGAACCTACTCCGGACGCGATGACTATCTACTCAACCGGTCATGGGTCATCTATGTCGCAGTGCTGGTCGTCTGGTGCTATGGGTATGCGCTCGACGGCCCGGTCGCCTCACCTCCGACGCTGAAAACGGTAGCTGAACAGCGACGCGACATGGAAGCCTATCTCCGCCGGGTGGGCGGGGTCCGTGAACCGAACGAGTTGGCGACGATGAAGGGCCGCAATCAGTGTCTCGGCTTGCTGATGATCCTACGGGATGGTTTCGCCAACACCCGGTGGGAGCTGCTCTCGGAAGCATCCAGTCTGCTGCAAAGCTGTATCAACAAGTTGCGGAACGAGACGCGGCGGTCGAGTTGAGACCGTTGACTTTCAGGCATTTCTCGATATATGTCTTATAAACTTATGTTTTTGGAGGACGATCTGCCATGTTTATGATTTGTTTCATTGTTTGCATGATGTGATACCACGGGCTGGCGATTTTTTTGTATACTGTTGATAAGTATATCTAGTACAAACAAACCTTCCTCTACATGTATTCGAATTCACTTTTTAACCTGTACATTCCAGCTCGATGTATTTAGTACCAGAAATAAGCTATGTCATCTCATCTGGATCGCTGGGGTCAGTCAATCCACACCTGCTGGTTACCACAACAACCGCCGAAACACCGCCAAACCCACACCTGGCCAACTTCTAATCATCACTCCTCCTCGCATCTTCCCAATCGATTAGCTTCGGTCCCTTCTAATCTTTGTAAGGATCTATCATTGTTTACAATCTTAACAATACGTTTTGTTGCAGCCATTGATTCTACCATTTCTTTGTTGCAGCATACCAAATCAACCCCTGAACCCACAACATCAACCATGGTACGTCTGGAATCCCCCTCCACCCAGCGCCGGGAGGAATGTCGCATGTGGATAGCCTCACGAGGAGATCGGAAGTGAAACTGCTGCATGCAATTACTCCTGTTGCGACTTCCTCCCTTGCATCGCGTCGTCCCCTGTTTAGTGTTTTGCCGTTGCGTTGCTGCCATTCTTGGATCTCCGCCTCTCCCCTCTTCTTCACACCCTGTACCAGTGGTTCTGGTTCTGGTTCCGAACAACTGAGTTCCCTCCGTCATTTCATTCTCCATCCTCAACTCCTCCCCCATCATCATCGTCCATCTGCTGGAAACAAGAACGTTCGTCAAAATGCCTCGCTCACCTGATTCTCACCACGACCAGGCCTCCACCAACTACAAGGAAGCGTTCTCGCTCTTCGACAAGCGCGGCACGGGAAAGGTATCGCTCGAGTCGCTCGGTGACCTGCTGCGCGCATGCGGTCAGAACCCTACCCTCGCGGAGATTGCGGATCTGGAGAAGAGCATCGGCGGAGACTGTAAGCTCCTTGGGGTTTCGTGCTCCTGTGGCGCGGCGAGCTGACAATGCTGCTAGTCGACTTCGAATCGTTCCTCAAGGTCCTGAACCGTCCAGGTGGATTCCGAGAGCCCGGCGAGCCCGAGGAGTACTGTCGGGGGTTCCAGGTGTTTGATAAGGATATGACTGGGTTTATTGGGGTGGGACAGTTGCGCTATAGTATGTTGCTCTGCATTGCGCATTCATCTGGCTGCGGGTTAGGGTGCTGATTGATTAGTTCTCACGAATCTGGGCGAGAAGATGTCGGACGAGGAGGTCGATGAGCTGCTGAAGGCGGTTGATACCAGCTCCGGCGAGATCAACTACACCGGTATGTTTCCTTCTCTGTTCTACTACGCTAAAAGCTAACTTGGTGTCGCAGAACTCGTCCGCACGATCCTGGCCAACTGAATGATTACGATACCCCCCTTGACGCTTCCACGATGGTTTTTACGATGTGCGCTGCCCGTCCACGCAGTCGGTGACTTGGTTGTCGGCTCGGCTTTAGCAATTAGTTTATATTCAGATAATATGAAATCTGTACTGTATCCCCTTTCTTCATGTTCTGTAGATGAAGATGTAGGCCCTATAGGATACCTATTGAGGAATCCATCCGCTCCACTCCCGATCCATCACCCGCATCTTCTCCTCGTCGCCCATAGTCTCCGTCTCTATCAACGCCCCAGGAAGCAAATATACAACCCGGGGCTCCTGATCCGACTCCTCCCCTTCGAGTTCATCCTCGCCCCTCCCATCCTTGGCAACAGGGAAATGCACCGCATCGAGAAAATACCCCACGACAACGCGACACCGCCCACATCGCAGGAACCGCCGCTTCTCGAACCCGTCTTCCCGGCGGATCAGCGTCGCCTTGCGATCGGGGAGAGTTGTGGACAGGAGAATCGTGTAGTGTTTCTGCTTCTGCTTCTCCTTCTCCTTCTTTCGCTCTCCCTGTCCTTCGGTTGAGGTGGCTTCGGGGGAGGCGTCTGGCTCGTCGTCATCGTCGGCGTCGGCGTCGGCGTCGGCGTGCGGGAGAGGGAGGATCAGCGCGCTGTCCTGGGCGGGGTCCTTTCGGCGGGGGAGGGCCGCGATTGTGCGGGTTGTGGCTAGGAGGAGGTGGTTGCAGAAGCGGCAGTGGTGGGTGTGGACTTTGAGGCGGTGGTGTTGTTGTTGGTGGTGTTGTGGAGGCGAGGGCGGTGGGGAGGCGGAGGGGTTTGTGGAGGTCATATTCTTTGGCGAGTTTCGTTGGTGAGGATTGATGAAGAGTGAAGAGTTCTCTATAGGTTGAAGGACGGGGGAAGATTGGAGATTTTATGGGTGAAGTGGTGAAGTGGTGAAGGTGATGTAGAGAGCTGGGCTGGGGTCTTATCGATAAGCTAAGGTAGGGTAGCTACATAGCTACGGGTCCGAGCTACGAACAGTAAATATAGGCACGAAGCGAATTCTTGAGATTGTGCTAGCTTGTGATAAAGCATCTAGTCTACTAAACTAAGCCAACCCCAAATCCTTGTAAAAGGCGTCCGTCTTGGGCTCGCGGCCGAGGAAGTCGGTCAACGTCTTCATCTCGTCCTGGCTGCCGCCCTTCTCGAGGACGCCGTAGCGGTATCTGCGACCGGCAGCCGGGTTCATGGGGTCGTCCTTGAAGACGGTGTAGAACATGTCGGTCGAGTAGACTTGGGAGCTGCAGTCGATTAGACGGCGTTTGCAAATACGTGATCCCCGAAACAAGGAAGGCTTACCTGAGATATCCGTAGTATCCCGCATCATAACCCCCAATCAAGTGACCAAAGGTTGCTTCGCCGTGGCCCCATTCGTCGCCCATTCCTAGAACCTCCGGGCCGTCCTGCAGCGCGATCTGCTTTCGCAGCTGGTTGTATGTGGCGGAGATGGGCAGCTTCTGGATCTGCTCGTGGTTCTCGGCTTCGTGCACCGTCATGTCGAAGATGCCAAAGTGCAGCTGGCGGAGGTTGAACAGCGCGTCGTTGACGTGCTTGGTCCGGATCAGGTTCTCGATGACATCGTCGGGAATGCGCTCTGGCGGCTGGGACTTGCCGTGGGCCTGTTCTTGCCATGCGGCGAGGTATTCAGGCGACAGCGTCGAGTAGTGTTTGCTCAGGGACTTGAGCTGGGAGGGGGTCCAGCACCAGTTCTCCAGCATCTGACTGGGGGCTTCCACAAAGTCCCGGACGGTGCTGGTTCCGTGGAAGCGCGAGTAGATCGTCTTGGAGACGAGGTCGTGGATCCCATGTCCGAGCTCATGGAACAGGGTCACCACCTCGTCATGCTTGAGGAGACTGGGTTTCTTGGCCGTGGGCTTGGTGAAGTTGCACACCAGTGCGGTGGCGGGGTAGCGTCGCTTGCCGTCAGCGTCGATAAAGCCCTATGATTGTTAGTCAATGGACACCAACCGTATATAAAACACATTACCGGCTGGAGATTGAAGTTGGCCGCATGGCCATACTTGCCAGGGCGGGGGAACAGGTCCAAGTAGAGGTAGCCCACGAAACCATTGCCCTCGCCCTCGTCATCCCAGACGCTGAAGATCTGGACATCTTCGTGCCAGACGATATCGCTTCCCTTGCCGGAGGACGCAACCTTTTCACGATCCTCGCCCGTAATCTCAACGAACACAAGGCCAAACAGCTCTTCGAAGATCTTCAGCATGCCCTCGATGGTCGTCTGCAGAGGGAAGTACTCGGCGATCAGTTGCTGATCTAGCGAGTAATCCTTCTCAAGCATAAGGCGGTCGTAGAACCGGTGGTCCCACAGATAGTAGCGGCCATCGAAGGACTCGCCGCGAGACTCGATGTCCGCTTTCTTGAGCTCCAACAAAGCCTTGATCTCCTTGTGTCCTCCGGCAGTCAGACGCGACCGCAAGTCTCCCAGGAAGTCGTCAACGGTCTTGGGAGTCTTGGCCATCTTATCTTCAATGCGGAACGCCGCGTGGTTGGGGTATCCAAGCAAACGAGCGGCCTCGTCACGTAGGATGATGGCCTCCCGGAACAGAGGCACGTTCTGGTTGCACTTGTTCTCGTTCTCGATCATCAGCCGCTTGCGAGTCTCCGCGTTCTTCGCATACTTCATGGTCGGGAACAGGTCGGGATACTTGAAGGTCAACCAGAGCTTGCCTTCATGCTCCCCCTCGCCCTTCTTCAAGCCAGATAGAACGTCTTCCGGCACGCCGTCGAGCTCCTCGCGTGTGAACCAGATTCCACCGTTCTCCTCGTTCAGGTTCTTCTGGAATTCAATGCTAATCTGGCTCAGACGCTTCTTGATCTCCTTGAAGCGATCGCGCTTCGGTCCGGCCGGAAGACCCAGCCCGTTGCGGATGTAATCCTTGTGTTCCTTCTCCAGCAATCTTCGGGACTCCGGGTCGAGGCTCTCGTTCTTCTTCAGCACAGCATCGACGAGCTTGAATACGTCCTCACGCATCACACTCTCAATGAAGAACTCGTCCATCAGCTCCTCAGCCTTGGATGACGCATCCCGTAGCTGCTGCTCCGTCGACACTGCCTGGTAGAAGCTCAAAATGTGGGATTCCAGCGCCATCGCATTCTCATCTTGGGCCAGAGGCTTCAGCACCGAGTCGAATGTCGCTGACTCGGGCTTGACGTTCGCAACAACATTGTCCTGCGCTTTGCGGGATGTCTCGATGAGGCGCTTGGCGTCATCGACGATGGATTGGGCGGTCGCGGTAAAGAGGGGCGGGGCCTGGGGAGGCCGACGGAGATGTTCGGGAGCCATGCTGGCGGTGGTAAGGGACTTGCGAAGATCGGTCAATGCGGTATTGTAGACGGCGGTAGTTGTAGGTAACCGAGAGACACGAAGCTGGCTCAAGACCGAAGAGAGCCTGAAAGTGGGGGAGGTGAGGCGGAGAGGAGGAGCCACGGTGACCAGAAGGATGCCCGCCAGGAGGACGAGGGCGTGCAGATATAAAGCGCGAGAGAAGAGTGGACTAATGGTGACGGTAGAGAGGGGCAAATCTGCAAGGACAAGGCGGGGTAGACCTCTAGCTTGAGTAATAGATATATAATCAGATGGCACAACGATGGACACGATTCTCGGTCGATATTAAGGATTCTTCACTAAGGTCCATATGGAGTACTCTGTATTCCTGGGTGACAGTTCATGACTGGATTAGGTTTAGTAGTCCTATTTAGGTATAGCAGACTTAGCATCTACTCTGTAGATATACCCAGTAGACTTGACCTAGTACTACTTGATAATATCTTCTTCTACTCTATCCAGGCTCCCAATTGCCTAAGTATTAATTGATAAGGTACTTCTACTATTAACTAGTTTGTTTGATATCTATACTTGGCAAAAGACCACTATGATTTGTCGAATCATGTGGTCAAGTTATGCCTGGGCCCTTTATCCGGTCGGCTTATGCCTAGGCTATCCAGCCAGCCTAGGCTCTCTATTGCCTACGCAAGGAACTAATCGCTGACCTCCGACCTTAGAGCTCCTTTCCTCATCCACGTGCGGAGTTCAGGTTATCTCCATTCTGTCATGTGATCTAGGAATAGTACATTTGCTTAATCTGGACTTCTAGCTGTCATTGTCTTGTCACGTCAGACAACTCAGCTTCCGCTTTCAGACGATGGCTGCCATTTTGGAAAGCAAACTCCTGCCACCCTCGCATCGAAGTTACATACCAGTGCAGAGCCAAGGTACAGTACAGAACGTCATGTAATTTCTAGAAGAATTTATTAGAAACGTCGAGTCGAGAGATGGCGTTTTGATAGGCGTGTTCAGGGTGACTGGCTAAACATCTTTAAGCATGCCAGACGGATGCAACCTTGCTTCCCAATCCACGCGGTGAAGCAGAGATATAAGATTCTCATCTAAGAGCGCATGTCCATTCCTACACATTATACCCCAAATACTGCAGTCTAAGAAATATGGAAGACTACTGTGCGACGTCGCTCTTCCAACCTTCCAACCTGGCCAAGGCCCTGGAGGACACTATGGACCCGTCGTCCGGGAGATCTACCCATTTATTGGGCACCATTGTCTCTATTCCTCACACCATCTCAGCTCGCACGCTGGCAGTCCTGGGTTATGACTTTGTCATGGTCGATGCTCAGCATACGTTAGTCCCCTCTCGTACTCAACGGACCGCGTTTCAGTCCAAGGTCTAACCGATATGGACTGTATCGGCGGTGCAGACCGATTGAAGCTGAGAACCTCGTTCGCCTAATCCAAACCGTCAGCCTCTCTAGCAAGGGAAGGACCGTCCCAATCTGTCGAGTGCCGTCCGCTCACTCACATTTACTGACGCATGCTCTTGACGCGGGTAAGCCTCGTTTCGAACTATCAGTTTGAGATCCTAACTGCTCACAAAACTGGCGTTTGAACAGGAGCCGGGGGCATTATCTTCCCACACATTGATACACCGGAGCAAGCCGCCGACGACGTCAGCAAGTGTCGGTATGCATACTCAAACGGTGACCGGTCATTGGCTCCAGCAGCGTTAGTCCCTGGAGTTACAGATGTGGCGCCACCAGGGTCTTCCCATGAGCGCGTAGCGGACGAAAACATTGCAGTGATCATCCAAATCGAAAGTCCGGTAAGTTCACTATTCTCAGGTTGACGGGATCTTCTGATGGGCTGATGACGGGATGTCTTAGCTTGCCCTTGACAATGCCGACGCCATAGCTGCAGTCCCTGGTGTGAATGCCCTAATGTTAGGGGCTGGCGATCTTCGAGTTGCTATGCGCTGTCCTCCGCGCCGGGTGGGCGACCCCGAAGATCCAAAGATATTGGACGCCATAGATCGGTTGGTGAAGGTGTCGAAACGGCATCAGAAGCCTTTGGCGGTGGTTACGTGCAAGGTGTCCGGGACAACGAATACTTGGCTCAAAGACTTTCAGCTATTGATGGTAACATCGGATTACTTCAGCGTGGTGAAGGGACATAAGGAGGATTTAGCTCGTATGAAGGAGACACTGGCGGAGGTGCAAGGGTTAAAAAATTGACTGCTCAGGCATGGAGCGAGGGCCTATGGCTAGTACTGATATTGCTCAAGAGTCAGCACGCCTCGATTGCCAATTCGATCAGGTCCCTTACTGTAGGAACTTTTGTAGCGCGCCGTGACAGCCCTGCAATTCAGGGAAGCATGACATAGCACTGTTGGTCTACTGCACAACCAGTATCTCGTCACTAACCAAATAGTATAGACCGACCAATCAACTGTAGTGGCGCACTGGGTATTGTGATCCTTCGGCTTCAAGCCGCCAAGGATGGCCGATGGTGGTCGAATGAACGGATGTTAAACGGTCAATGCGGCGCCATATTCTCCATGAATTCGGGCACAGGCTGGGTGCGGAGCATGAGCATTTCTCACCGGATTTCCCACGGGAACTCAAGTTCCAGCCGGTGGTTGATCACTTCAAAGAGGAGGTGCAAGGGAGAATGACAAGCGACCAGCATCCAAAGAGTGGACGGCGGCTAAGGTCAAGGACGAGAGCACCTCGCGCGCTGACAGGAATATGCTCAAGAGATTAGGTCAGACCAACTTGCAATATTCGGCTTTTGATATGAAGTTAGTTATGTGGTATGCAATTGACGAAGACTGGTCAATGGACCACAGTCCTTCAGGAGGGCCTCTCACACATCGATCGAGGAGAGCTACTAGCTTTCGTATAGTCAACGACGTCTACAGCGAAGCACGCCGCAATGATCCTGACCCGTTTTTGAGCTCGGTTCCCGACCTCGAACTGATATTTTAGATATAGGTTATGATGATAATTACCATATATTTTATACAAGAATATCAGTTTTCTATAACCGTGAATCATGATACTAACACAAGTTTCGGTGGGTAACCCGGCCCAACCCGGGCGGGGCCGCCGGGTCCTTAGACCTGCCTAACCTAATATGGTAGTCATTAGTCATCACACAAAATAAAGTAGTTAGTTAACTAACTAAACATTCTCTTCCATTGGACCATTTACTAGTATCTATATTCATCCCTCCTGACTGCTCACGATCGCAATCAGCAGTTCTAGGAGCCTATTTTCGGCCAATTTGACCTCACCAGTCCAGCTTCACCGGCCGAGGAGCACCTGATTTGCTCTTCATCCGCCCGGTGCTATTTGCGTTGGCAATCTGCCGGAACACCGTGCGCCCAAATTGGCTATACAATGGGAGTACACCTCCGGCGTCAAGAAGAGTTTTCTCCATCTCCGACTGCTGGTAACGGAAGACTCGATCGATTCCCTCGATCTGCACTGTCTTTGTGTTCTGGTCGATGATGACGACGGAATCTTCCTTGGCATGCGCATAGAACTCGGCATCCGGTAAGGTGATGTTAAACAGGCCCATGTTGAGCTGGTTTCGGTCATCTGAAATCTTGGATTAGAGTCTAATAGTTATCGTCCATGATGGTATCACCTACAGATAAATGCGAAACTGGGCGCAATGACTGCTTCGATGCCTGCTCCTTGTAAGGCTCTGACTGCATCTTCACGGGACGAGCCACTGCCGAATCCACGATCTGCAACGCTGGGAACGTTGAGTTTAATTCTTCGCTGTTAGGGCTGACTTAAACTTACATTATTCTCGACCCATCTTCTGCCTTCTTTCGGAATTCGGGGCGGTAGTACTGGAAACAGTGATTGCCCAGATCCGCATTATCAACACCGGGGACGAATTCAGCGGGAATAATCGCGTCACTATGTAAACACCGATATCAGCACCAGACAGAAACCAGACACTGCAGGGACGAGGTATCCACCGACTTACGTATCGACGTTTTCCCCAAACCGCTGAACTCTCGACCGAAGAAGGCCTTCACTGGTAGTACGTGTAGTATCTGCCGTGGGAGTAGCCGTCTCGGCAGGAGTCCCGCTATCGAGGAGGACCGGAGCCGGAGCGACATGAGATGAAATGACTGGATCAGGCTCGCTAGTCTCGGGCGCAATGGTCAACGAGACCTTCTGGCTCCCGAGGATTCTGTTCAATCTTCCCTTGTCGATTTGGCTCAGCAACGGCCGGGGGTCCGTGACGACCATGCCGAAGCTCGAGGCCGCGACCACCGCGGCGCAAGTGATGCTCCCGAAGCTTCCTTTGCCCATTCGATTGCGGAAATTGCGGTTCTGGGAGGAGAGCCAGACTTCTCCTTCGCCGGCAACGTCAACGTCGTTGATCCCGACGCAGTACGAGCACCCCGGCGCTCCAATGTTGAATCCCGCCTGTCGATAGATATCCAAGACGCCATGTCGCTCCAGATTCTTGATGATGCTGAGACTTCCGGGAGTGACCCTCCTCCGGCCTTGGGAGGCGGGCACCATGCCAGCGCGCAGGCCAGCCTCCAACACCAAGGCCCCTACAATCAGGTCTTCTTCGGTGGTGGTACAAGCCCCGATAAAGCAGCCATCCAGCTTCATGCCTACTTTCTCCGTCACAGCTACCACATGATCTGGGTCAGGGTACAGGGCGATGGTGAAGCCCACATCGGAGAGATCGACGGTGCGGACCTCGGCATATTGCGCATCTGGGTCGGCTTTAAAGTATAAGCCTCCTTCTCGATGCTCCGGATGTGGCCTGCGGGAGATCCATTCCGCGGTGTTCTCGTCGGCCTCAAAACAGGCTCCCATGCCGCCAAACTCGGTCGTCATGTTGGCGATGGCAAATCGGGCATCCATGGACAGCTCCTTCAGCCCTGGGCCGCCGTACTCGACCGCGCGCTGGAAGGCAATCGTATTCCGCTTGAAAAGCCCCAGTATATGAAGAATGACATCCTTTCCGCCAATTCCAAAGGGCAATTTCCCCACGAAGTTGATGCGACAGACTTCCGGCACCCGGAACCAGGTCTCCCCCGTCACCATGGGCATGACCACATCTGCAGCCCCGAGTCCAACGGCTAGGGCACCCATGCAACCAGCAGAACAGGAATGAGAGTCGCAGCCCACGATAATGCGACCAGGCTGGGCTCGTTCGCGAGTAAAATCGGTGTGTAAGATACTGGTGTTGGCCGGGAGAAAGTCGATGATCTTGGCTTCGCGTCGGAATTTTTCTGCTTTTTCAATGAGGCTTCGTTGCCGGGGACGATGATTCGTGCGTGGGTCGACCGTGTGGTCAATCGCCAGCCACATCCGATCGTTGCGATACGGGCGAGGTCTCCCCATGCGGTCGTATGTTTTCTCCATCCCGGCCCAGAGGATTTCGGACGTCAACGTCCAGTCCACCTGGACGCAAATAATCTCCCCAGTCTGGACCTCTGGTTTGCTCAAACCCACGGCGGCATTCGTCATGATCTTTTCAATGACGCCCATCGGACGGCGCTTTCCTACAGGATGACCCACGCTTGGCTCCCTTGGGAGGCGCGACATCCGGGACTCCGCTTCAGCACTGGCCGCCTCGAGGTAATAGTCCAGATGCTCCAACAACTTCCCCATGAACTCGTCTGGCGTGGCCAAACCCCCAACGCCGGCGGTCCGTATATTGGATCCCAACAGCTCAATCGGGTCCAACGTCCGACGAATCGCTCTGGTCAATGCAGCAGCCTCTGCAACCAGGCCAAAAGACAAGTCGAGCATCAGGCTCACGGCTGGCAGGATGCAGAGGGGATCCGACGTGTCTCTCCGTGCATTCAGATTCCGGGGCTTAAAAATTCCCGGCATACCTGCGATGCCCTTCCTTGGAGGGGTCGAGACGGCTGCCGATGCCAATATGTCCTGTGATCCCACAATGCCTCCCGCCTGGTCGGACAGAGTCTCTCCAAGCTTGCTGGTGGTCAGGACGATACCATTCAACCGGGTCGGCTCAGAAGCCAGCAGTGTTGCCGCGGTATCCACCAGGACATAACGGAGCGGGACCTGCGGGAATTCGTTTTCGAATACCTCCGTGACAACGGACCTCCAGACAGGCGATGTCGCCAGGGGACTGGATTCGTCAACGGAGTGTACAGGCTTCGGGGGGTGGAACTGCATGGCGTAAGCTCCTGCCCACCGCGCTACCCGTTCGATCGTCTCACGAGAGTATTCCGTCGTATCGTGGGCTTGGCCCTCACTGTCTGCCTCCTTTAAGGCCCTGTAAGATATCCCGCTCGTGGCATCGCTAATGAAAGTGATATCGAGCCTCTGAACTCCGTCATACTTGAACGAGCTTTGCTGGACAAGCCCTGTACTTGGAAAAAACACCGGTTGAATATTAGCGAAAATACCGAGCTCCTTGTGCAAATCTAGACTCCCTGTGACCGGCTCGACGCCAAACTGCGGATCACCGCATCCGCACAGAATGACGGCGTCAGAGTCGAGACACGCCTGTAAGGCGGCACGAGGCGGTGCTGAGCCTGCGCCGGCAGCAATGGCTGCACCACCAAATTGATGTTCAGAGATATCAAACGTAAGGTTTGGCCGCACTTGTTGGATGAAGCCCAGCACTTTTTTCGCATGGGATGCCAACTGTGGGCCTGCTCCATCCCCGGGCAAAAGGGTGACCTTGAAGGTTCGGTGTGCTTGTGCTTGTGAAGGAGACATTTCTCTGCTATGAGGACGATTCGTATTGATGCTCGAGGAAGCCCACCAGGGGCTGCATCGCTCAATATATAACTTTTCTGTCCGACATCGGACGCGTTGCTCATGTTCTGTACCCCTCATTCTCTATTGTCTGTGTCTCTTTGGTTTTTTCTTTTTTTTTTATTATTATTACACGAGGGCTTTGCTTGGCTAGCATGGATGTGCTACTCATTGAAATTACAGCAGCAACCCGAAGGTGCGCGGTTTTGTACCCTATCAAGTGGAGAGGCTACGCAAGGATTGGAGACTGGCTACTCTTTCTCTTCTTCATGTCTAGCTGTCTATGACCGGAACAGAGGAAATCACAGTATACAGTCGAAAAGAGTCGAAGACCCTCAGTTGACAACCTGAACAATTGGCAGGAGTCTCAGGAATTGTCGATATGGCGGGAGGTCTTCCTGCAAGTCCTGCTCTCCAATCAGTATCCAATACCACGATCGAGTCAGAAAAGATGCCTCTATAATCAGATTGACTTACCAGAGCAGATGACAGGCACGCCAACGCGATTGCAAGATCCTCCCGCTCAGCCGCCTTTGCACGCCACAGATTCCTGCACTTGACCAACGCTATGATGAGCTGCTCTCCTGCGTCGCTCTGGATGGTTCGCTGGACGCATTCAAAGTCCAGGTTGAGACCCGCCAGGGAGGAGAAGGCAAACGAGACTGCTGCGGCTGCATTCTCTCCGGTTGCCACAACCTCGCGGGGCCGGCCACTCACCAGGACGATCGCCCTCACGGTGACCCGGCCCGAGCCGTCCGCCTTCGGCTGCACGTCGCAAGCAAGGATCCGGGAGTCTTTCTCCAAGATTGAGTAGTGCCGGAGAAAGGACTGGGTTATTTCAGCCTCGGTAAGCCAGCGTCCCTGGGCCTCCGATTCGGCCTTGATCACCTTGGAGAAGGCCTGTTGGAACTCCTTGGGCAGCTCCAGATCTAGAGTCCGTTGCAGGACCCAGGCCACGCCTCCTTTTCCGCTCTGGGAATTGACCCGGATGACGGCCTCATACGTAGCCCCAATATCCTCCGGGTCGATGGGGAGGTAGGGCACTTTCCAGATGCTGCGTTCCCCCGGTGGTACGTTCCGCCACTTCTTGAACCCCTTGTTGATGGCGTCCTGGTGGGAGCCGCTGTAGGCCATGAAGATCGAGTCGCCCGCGTAGGGGGCGCGCAGGTGGACGGGGATCTGGGTGATCTTCTCCACCGTCTTGCGAATGGCAGGGAGATCGGAGAAGTCTAGCCCCGGATCGACTCCCTGGCTGTACAGGTTGAGAGCCAGGGTGACGAGGTCGACGTTGCCCGTCCGCTCGCCGTTGCCGAACAGACAGCCTTCGACGCGGGTGGCCCCGGCCAGCTGACCGAGTTCCGCGGCGGCCACCGCACAGCCTCGGTCATTGTGAGGGTGCAGAGAAACTACCACGTCCTCTTGGCCGGCGAAGGCCCGCGAGAAGATCTCCACCTGATCCGCGTACGTGTTGGGGGTGCATCTCTCGACGGTGGCGGGCAGGTTGAGGATGATGGGGATCTCATTGGACGGGCCCCATGCCTCTTTCACTGCTTTACACACGGCAATGGCATAGGCCGGATCGGTATCGGAGAAGGCCTCGGGGCTGAACATCAGGTTCCAGGTGGTATCCTGCTGGGTCGGGTCGTCTTTGGTGATGGACCGGGTATACTCGACGCATTCCACAGCGGTGCGCAGCACAGCAGCCTGGGATGACTCGAACATGGTCTGGATGAAGCTGTCACTCGTGGCAATGTAGAGGCTGATGATGGCCTTCTTCGCGCCAGTGACGCTGTCGACGGTGCGCCGGATCAGCTCCTTTCGGCAGGGCGATAGAACCTGCAACCACACGTCCGATGGCGCCGAGGCGACGACATTTCGCGTGAAATTGAACTCGGTGTCAGACGCGCTGGGGAATGAGATGTCGATCTCCTTGAATCCAACCCGGAGGAGCATCTGAAAGTACTCCCACTTCTGCTCTACATTCTGGGAAGGGTGTTAGGCACGAGAATGGTACAATTTATGGAACAAAGAAAAAAAGAAAACATACCATCGGGCATGCAAGAGCCTGGTTTCCATCGCGGAGATCCGTCGCCAACCAGCGCGGTCTCTTTGTGAGCCGCTTTGAGGGCCAGGTCCTATCTGGAAGGTCTGGAGGGTTGAAAGCCTCATATTTGTCCGAAGGATTGCGAAGCCTATGTCAGGTTGGCTCGGTTAGTCAACGATCTGCCAACGCAGGGGGGGTGCAAGGCCATGGGGCCATAAAGCAGAAGGGCATTGTATCTTTCCTGCACGTACATAGGCATGGCGACGAGGTTCTGTATGCGCCAATTGCTCAGCAGTCAGGTAATTTTCTATGACTCCAAACATGGTCCGTCCGAAGGGCACACAATCTGCTCTTTAAAAACACAGCCATGGCCAATGAAGCCCGAAGCTCGTCATCACATTCTGCTTGTGTTGCAAACAATTCGTCTATTCAGCGTGAGATTCGGCTGAACTGCTCAACGAAAAACACAACAGCCCCTCCTTCCTTATCGGACCCCTGTCTCTGCGGTGATCATGGCTTTGGCGCTATACCCATGCACCCTCCGATATTCGCACTCGCTTACAGGAGGCTGTGTCTAGACTATCACTGGGTACAGGGATGCGATGACGCGTGGATCAGGTATTTAGTTTGTTTCCCGTGCGCCTAGCTTCAACTGTAAAAGACAGCTTGCATTCTTTAGCCTATAGCCACATGCAGGACGTGTATAGTTGCTTTGCTTTTGCTTTTGCTGTTTTTTTCAGACTCAGCTGCCCCTCTACCCCTCCTTGATCGCCATGAAGGATGGTCACACGTTGATTACTTGTTCGCCACTAGAGAGTACTCCATAGAGGAACTACCAACTGACTATTTCAGACCATTTGTTACATATCTCTTCCTCCTCCCCGTTCCCCACCCCCAATAAGTATAAGTATGCAGATACTGGTGGGTCGCCCCCTAACTACTGTAGCAGACTAGCAGTGGAGAATTTCTCCCTGAGCAGCTATTCCTCAGTGTCTTATTGGCTGTATCTTCCCCTTTGCATTCCTGAAGGATTGGTCCAAGCTCTGCCACTTAATCTGACCGCGTCTTTACCACATAAGCTACCGACTCTGCCTTTGGCAGATGTGACTGTAGCAGAGATAGGGAGTAGGTAGTACCAAGCCAGAAACAGTAGATTCCCTTGCGATGCCTCACTGCAAAAGTACGGAGTATAGGGGTGGAAACTTAGAAATCCCATAAGCATGACTGTTTGGCCCCCAATCCTTAGTGAGCAAAGTAAGCAGCCAAGGTTCGTTGGTTACAGATTCTATAACAGCGATGCATGCATATGCAGCCGTAGTCTTCAGGTAGTCATATGCGCGGTACTTCTGCATCTTCTTCACAACCATACCCGGAAGTACCTCGGGAGGCATTATCAATCAGCGCTAGCCTTGATGAATTTTATTGTGCATCGACTATATCAGGGACTAAATTGATTCTACTCCTTTCGGCCTCGCCTACGGAAATGTATACTCTGAATGTTTTCGTTGGGTCAACCAAGCGGGCCGTGTCTTTGCCACGGGGACTGCAGATGGGCTGCAGTCAGCAGTAGATCATATTAAGTGGTAATTTGTGCCCCTCATCCCACCCCTCATTCAATCCACCAAGACGAGCCAGTGCGTCGCTATTCAGCCTCAAGCCAGCCACCTGCAAGGGTAGATGCGTCGTGCCGTCATCTTCTACCAATGATGGACGCAGTGATCTGGGCAAACCGCGTTCTGCTCAAATCGAGGCCGTTGATACGCTGCGTGAAGCATATGTCTAGGCTCCCACGTCTGCAACCTGACTAAATGAAGATGCATGATGTTACATTCATCGGCAATTGGTCATGACGCCTGCAATTTGTGAGATATTGCTCAGCCTCGGGTCATCTCCGGCTGCATCCAGCCTATGCACAAGTGTCGAAACAGAGAGAAGAGGAAGAGACCCCGGTATCGGCCTCTTGGAGTAGATCAGGCAATGGTGTTGCTCACTGTGGCCTCGTTATAAACCCGTATAGGGTCCCCGGGCAGCCCGGTCTCACAGGACAAGTTCACGTCTCTATCTACTATCATCATGACTATCCCGGTTCTTGATGCGTCTGCGCTTTCTGGGGGAACCCCCGAGCAGCGTGCCGAGTTTGGTGCCAAGTTCCTGGATAGTTTGAACACCTATGGCTTTGTGAAGCTCGTCAACCACACGGTTCCTGTCCCCCTGGTGAAGGAGACCTTTGATCAGGTGAGACGCTCGCAATCTGCCGTTGTTGAACAGCAATACCAATAATTGAACCGGGCAGATCAAACGCTTCTTCAAGCTTCCTTACAGCGTCAAGATCCCTCTGCGGAACGACCCCAAACAAGGCCAGCAGCGAGGATGGAGCATTCCCGGTGAGGAGAAGACATGGTGGCTCGAGAGCAACAACGGGGAGATCAAAGAGCCCACGTTCAGCGATAACAAGGCATGTACACTCCGAAAATTCCATCACAGCAGTTGCATCAGTTCTAACGGACCTATAGGAAAGCTTCGACTGCGGCCACCCGGACGACAAGAAATTCCCCAACAAGTGGCCGTCCGAGGCAGACCTGCCCGGCTACCAGGACACAATGGACCGGTTCTTCTTCTCCTGCGGGGACCTCACCCTCGAGCTCCTCGAGGTCATGGCGCAAGCGCTGAACCTGGACGCCAAGATCTTCACCTCCCGCTGCACCAACGAGGCCAGCACCATCCGCATCAACCACTTCCCGCCCATCGAGCGCAGCAAGCTGGACGAGGGCAAGATCAACCGCATCTGGCCGCACAAGGACTTCGGCATCATCTCGCTGGTCTTCCCGGACGTCACCCCGGGCCTGGAATACGAGGACCGCAGCAACCCCGGCACCTTCATCCCCATGCCCTACGGCTCGGACGACGAAGTCGTGGTCATCGTCTCGGAGACAATGCAGCGCTGGACCAACGGCGAGGTCCGCGCCGGCCTGCACCGCGTCAGCCGGCCGCGCGACTGCGACGACGAAATCGTGCCGGAGCGCTGGAGTCTGGTCTACTTCAACAAGGCGGACCGGCATGTGAACGTGGGGCCCCTCGCGGAGTTCCTGACGGGCGACAAGAAGCCTATCTACGAGGATCTCACGGCGCTGGAGTACCAGACCCTGAGAAACGCGGCGCATTATCCTGGTTAGATCTGGCGAACGGGATCTGAAACCTAGACTTAGACGGAGGTAGTCCTATCAGGGTGGAGAAAATTCAAGTGAACATTGAACGATCTAGCACACTGCACACATACTCCGTAGACGATCACCTCACGTCAGAAATTAGTATCGGCTACCCTGGCCAATCGTTGAGAGGGCCTCAGCTGCCTTCATTGCATTATGAATTATCCTTTTAGTTCTTTTAGTCGGGAATATCATTCCCCACCATGTCCGAGGTGATGATCCTACGTGCCGCAAATGCATGCAGAAAATGTAAGACACGCAAACGAAAAGAAACAAAACAAAACAAAACGAAAAGCCACATCATCTAAGGAGCCTCTCCACTTAGTTTGCCACCTTGGTAGCAACAGGACGGCAAATCCATTGCCAAATGCCAATATCCATTCCAGGAAGAGTCTCAGTTTATGCATGTCTCACAGTTCTCTCTAATTCTCTATTATGAATATTATCCGATGCAACAGTCTTATCTTAAAGCCTGGCGCCAAGTCCGACCTCGGGGCCCTGGATAATATCATCCACCAGCACACTCCACTCATGCTCATCTTCTCCGTATTGTCGTGCTTCGATCCACTCTCTCATCGTCGCAGCCAATTGGCCTGTCTCCTGCGCGGCTGACAAGCCGCAGTTGATCGTCCGTCCCGCCCAGCGGATACACCGGACAGGGCTGACGATGGCTGCCGTGCCCGTGCCAAACACCTCCTGCAGGCTGTCAGCCGCGGCGGCCGCCTCCAACTCCCCCATGGAGACGGCCCGTTCGCGGACCAGCCAACCCTGTGGCTGCAGTCTCTCCCGTGCCAGGCTGAGCACGCAGTCGCGGTTGACTCCTGGCAGGATCGTGCCGTCCAATGGCGGCGTCACCAGCTCACAGCAGCCCGGGCCCAAGCCCAGGTCAGGCCTCCGCAGCACGATAAACAGATTCATCGTTCCCGCTTCCGTCACCAGGTTGTCCTCCCCGAAGAGCCAGAGGACCTGGTGAGACCCTCGCTGTCTGGCTGCAAGCTCCGGCACCATGCAGGGGGCATAGTTGGCCCCCACCTTGTGGCTTCCACTGCCGCCGGGCCACGCACGCACCCATTGCGCGCTGCTGGTGGCTTCCAGCGTGATTGCCTGGAACCCGTTGCGGAAGTAGGAGCCCACGGGGGATGCCACCACGTAGAGGAGAGCAGAGGTGGGCGGGGATACGCTCAGCCCGGGGTTTGTTCCGATCAGAACGGGTCGCAGGTAGAGCGAGTATCCCCGGATACTGGAAGATGGCCGTCAGCCCTCGTCAACCTTGCAATGGATCTACTTACGCGGGGATGTGTCGAGACTCGGTGTCCACGAATTCAGCCAACAGCGTCAGAAACTCGGCGGCGTTGAACGTGGGGAGCGCGACTCGTGCTGCCGATTGATTCAGTCGCGCGAGGTTCATCTCCGGCCGGAACAGCCGTAGCCGGCCCTGGGCGTCCTTGTACGCCTTCATCCCTTCGAAACACTCAAAGGCGTAGTGGAAGACGCCGGCGGTGGGATCAAGGCTGAGATTCCCGTAGGGCACGATTTGAGGTGCATGCCAGCCATACGCCTCCGACCACGGTATCTGGAGAATGTGGTCTGCGCTGTCAGCTTCAGAATATCTATCCCCCTTTGGCTCTCTTCGGTCCAGGTCGTACCCGTTACATGCTTGCCAAACTCCAGGTCGGCGGGGTTGGGGATTTCAGCCGGCTGCGGATTTCGCGTGATGCGCAGCTTGCTCGCGTCCAGTTCTGCTACCATTTTGGTGGTTGGTTGTCGAGTGGTCGATTGTACAAGGGAATGCCAGAGCTCATCGCTGTAAACTCATATGTTATATATGTATGTCTATTGCCAGTCATACGCGCCAGATCCCATTTAGTCAGCGAATCCCTGTAGTCGTTCATGCTCCGTACCTATGTATCGTCATGGTGTCCTGTAGGTTAATGTCGAATAAGACTAATTGCTGACACAATATCATCCTTATTGATTGTAAAGTTTAGCATTACCGAGGTCTGGTTCCTCACCTTCTGCATCAAATCATTCAAAAGCTATGCATCCGACATCGGATCAAAGCATAGATGATGCATGGATTGCCTAATGATTAGTTACGTTAGTCAAAGTTAACTAAGGGGCCAGAAAAAGCTCTGTGGTCAGACTTCAGAGGTGGGTGGTTTCAAACTGCAACAATAAGCTTAGTAATATGATCTATTACCACCTTGATCAGACTCTTTTCGTCGTTTGTGAGCGTGGTTAGGGGTAGGAACTTGACTTCTATGTCTACTTCTTAGTATGTATGGAGTAACTACGGAGTCATCTCCAACTTCCACCAATCCCTTACTGCCATAGAGCCCATAATTAGGTACCTAGTATTGTGGCTCTCGGACGGCCCGACGGCTCACTTGCCGCTGGTGATCAACCACTCTCCACTTCCAACTACTAAAGGTTATGGTGAATACGTACGCAAGTGCCGGTGATAGTCGGAAGCAGACGGATAGGATAGGATAATAATCATGTTGTAATATTAATTGAGTTATCATCGATATACACATAGTTCAAATGATCCATCTCTAGGTACCCTCGGCCACACCCCGTAGACTAAGGCATAGGCTGCGTACTAGGCCTTCTGGGCAGGAGGGGTTGGTTATCTTAGGCTCCTTAAGGACAGCCTAACAAATGTCGCAGTCAACCCCTAACTGCGACGTGAAAGAATACATTCACTATTAGTCTATTACTATAGGCAAATGCATATTAGAAAAAAAAAAAAAAAAAATAGCGTTATTCTCACCTTTACAGTTCACCAACCCACCCTTTCAGGCTTGGCGAGTATGGATACCGCGAGTCTGAGGGATAATTGATCCTTCTCCTTGTATATGATTGGCAGTAGGCGATTTCTTGGCCACAGAGAGGACAAAGAGTGAGCGTAGAGAGCGTGGCATCAGCCCCAGTTGATCCATCAATCTGATCAAAGATTAGTCATGATAAGACATCTGCTTATTCCGGCAAAAAAGAGGTGATCATCAACCCTCCCAGACTCCTCCCCAGACTAAATGAATCAATCCTAGAATTGTTGCTTGCCTTGGTTCCCTTCCTATCCCCCTTTGACCCTTTCCACCCACACGCGTGCAAACCAACTCGCTCAGTCCTTCTTTCTCTTTGACATCGCCTACACTGACGATGGCTGAGATATCCGACTCACACTTTTCGTCAACCGAGGAGGAAAAAGGTGTGCGGACTCCTCAGGCGACAGACGCTACTCATCTGTCGGCCGGTCAATCGCAGGACAGTAGTGCCACCCAGCAACTCCCTCCCATCGATCGCGGAAAAGATGCCTGGTTTTTCCTCGCAGCATGCTTCGTCATGGAAGCCCTCGTCTGGGGCTTTGCCTTCACCTACGGAGTCTTCCAAGCCTATTACAGCAAGACCCCCGAGTTCAAGAACTCCGGCAATATCGCCGTGATCGGGACCTGTGCCATGGTAAGGTGCCACCTGTCTTCGAGCACATGAAGCTAACCAGTTGCCCCCGGCTGAAGGGAATCATGTATCTGGACCTCCCGATCGTTTTCGCCGCCTATAGACGTTGGCCCAAGTATCAACGGCTCGGGTGTGGCCTGGGCGTCCTGGTGATGTGTCTGTCTCTCGCTCTGAGTTCGCTCTCTACCAACGTGACCCACCTCATCATCAGCCAGGGAATCTTCTATGCCCTCGGTGGCAGCGTGGCGTATTCGCCATGCATCCTCCTAATGGAAGATTGGTTCGATAAACGCAAAGGGCTCGCCTTTGGCGTCATGTGGGCCGGCACGGGGCTCGGCGGCGTTGTCCTCCCGATCGTGATGGAGCAGCTGCTGAACCGGTATGGATTCCGCATCGCCCTCCGAGCCTTCGCCATCGCCCTCTTTGTCCTCACGGCGCCACTGGTGTATTTCGTGAAGCCCCGGGTGCCAGTCTCTCAGCGGCCCAAGGCAGCGCCGCCCAACCTGCGCTTCATCATCACCTCGACCTTTGCCCTCTTTGAGATCTGCAACATCGTCGAGGCCCTGGGATTCTTCCTCCCGTCGCTCTATCTCCCCACCTACGCCGGGGTCATCGGCGCATCGAGCAGCCTGCAGGCGCTGACCGTCATCCTCTTCAACGTCGCGTCGGTCGTGGGCTGCGTGGTCATGGGCGCCATCATCGACAAGCTCGACGTGACCACCTGCATCCTCGTGTCCACCGTCGGGTCCACCATCGGCGTGTTCCTCATCTGGGGGTTCTCCATGTCGCTGGCCCCGCTCTTCGTCTTCTCGATCGTCTACGGCCTGTTCGCCGGCTCCTACACCAGCACCTGGCCCGGCATCATGCGCGACGTCGTCCGCAAAAAGAGCTCCGCCGAATCCAGCATGGTCTTCGCCTGCCTGGCCGCCGGCCGCGGCATCGGGAACCTCGTTTCCGGGCCGCTCAGCGAAGCCCTCGTCAAGGGGATGCCGTGGAAGGGCCAGGCCGTCTACGGCTATGGGAGTGGCTATGGCACGCTGATCGTCTTCACGGGCGTCACTGGGGTTATTGGCGGGGGAAGCTACGTGGCGCGCTGTTTCAGGTGGATATAAGGGCGTGCCGTTACTGTTACTGTTACACTGGAAGCCGTGCCGTCATCCTCTCATTCCCAAGTTCCCAACTCTGAAACATAAAAAGGTGAGACCACCCCCGGCATCTTGCATACCCCATAGCTAAACAGATAGCAGATAGCAGATCAGGTGAGCAGACAACTTGATATCTTAGCGAAAAAGTAGATACACGTTTCCAATGAATTTCGGGTTTCTTCTATAGAGATAGGCACAATGTCCTTGGAATCACAACAGTGACCTCCAGTCTGTCCTCTTCGGTGTACTACAGAATCCCCTCGAGTATTTCTCTATCGAATCAATCCCATCTTGCACCTTGTAACCAACCAGTGCATGAATAAACTCATTCTCCACGTCTAAATAAACAATAGAAATTCAGTATCGAATTAGAGCATCATCAAAGTACTCGGTTAGAGGTACACGGAGATCAAATCATCAGACCAGTCAACCCGGGCCTCCCCATATTCCTTATACTCAATAGAAAAATAACATTTGGAAAAGATATTCAGACACTATTACTCTGTAGTAAGGCTGAGATCTTGGGTGGTGCTGTCCAGCCTGTACTTTCAGTCGGGTTAGCAACTCTACCTTACTAGATGTGTCGTGTTGACTAGTTAGTTAGTGTGTTTGCTTAGGTCAGGTGCTAGATGGGCACCCCCTCATTCCACCTCGCTTCGTCACCAAATTTTGACCCAGAATCGCTCTGTTGCTTAATGTCCTACCGTCTTCAATACCTATGATTTTTATCATGACTCCTGCTGCTACCCATTGTGATGTTCTTCAGGTTGCTAAACAGGTTTGTACAGAGCTGGTTTACATTCTACCTCTTTTGCATGAAGGAAACAGATTGGTATCAATTCTTTGATATCGTTTCCAAGGCCTGTGTTGATCATATCTGCCTATTTAGAATGATTTCAGACGAATGATTTCGGACGAACTGGATCGTTCGACGTTTCGACCTTGAATATGCCGAAGCATGTGACAAAGCAACCCAACTCCAGCAACTCCAAACGCACCGTATGAAAATTTTCGGAACGCCCACAATGTGCTAGCCTTTGAACATCGACGATGTGAGATGAGAGAACAGGTTGAAGAATACGCTTGAAACTCAGCGGCGGTCATAAAAAAATACACAGAGAAAGAGGGAGATTTTGTGAGGAATGCTCATGCCGCGTCGGCGGTGGGAATGGGCTCGGGGATCTTGGTGACCTGCTCACCAGCGCGGATGATGCGCTGACCGGACTCGTCGCGGACATATTCGCTGCTCTCCTTCTGAGCACGCTTCCAGATCTCGACTTCACAGCCGCCGCGGATAACGCCGACACGCATGGTGGACAGCAGGTTGTGGGCAGCATTCGAGTGGTAGTAAACGCCACCGTTGAACATGGCAGTGGCATCCTTGCCAATGCCGGAGTTGATCATAGCCTTGCCGCCAGGGTGGTCCTTGATGAAATCAGTCACGTCGTGGACAACACCGGCGATAGCGATCAGTCCGCGGCCGTTCTTGGCCTGCTCAACGTAGTCATCCCACTCCATGACGGGAAGCTGGTCAAGAGGAACGCCCCAATCCAACTTGGCACGCTTCTGGTCGATCTTCTTCTGGAGCTGCTGGATACGACCCTTCTCAATTTCGTTGGCACGGAACTGCTTCAAATCATAGGCCAGACCAAGTTGCTTCCAGATCCAGATGGACCACTTGGTGGGGTCATACTGATGCCACTCAATGGCGTTGCGGTAGTCCGAGGGGAATTCGTGGTGGAAGTTGTGGTAACCCTCACCAAGAGTGACCAGGGCAGTGATAACGTGATCTCTGGGGGAGTTTCGGTCGTCAAAGGGCTGGTCGCCGAGCCAGTGGGCCAGAGAGTTGACGCAGAAAGTGGCTTGCTGAACGAAGAAGATACGCAGGATACCGGCATAGATGAAGCCACCCCACCAGTCACCCCAACCAAGACCGGCCACGAGCATGGGCACGACAAGACCCATCATCAGAACCACCTTCAGGTAGTTGCGGTGTTGCCACACAACGACGGGGTCTTCGTTCAAATCAGTGATGTCGGTACGGCCGATACGCTTGGGGTTCTGCTTCATAACCATCCAGCCGAGGTGCGAGTAAAGGAGACCCTTGCGGACAGAGTAGGGATCCTTGTCGGTGTCGGTATAACGGTGGTGAGCGCGGTGGTCACGAGCCCACCAGCGGATGGAACCTTCGACTGCACCACCACCAACGGCTGCGAGCCAGATACGGAGTGGAAGACGAGCCGAGTAGGAGCAGTGAGCCCAAAGACGATGATATCCTGCACACCAAGGATTAGTATTTCTAGAGTCCCCAGAATATGAGTCTGTGGCAACTGACCTGCTGTGATACCCAGACCGGTGAAGAAGTAGTAGATAACGGCCCAGATGGCGGTCTTGAGCTGCAGAGGCACCCAGAAGGCCTGGACACACCCGTACACGGGGATACCGATGATGAGGAAGACGTTCAACCAGTTGACATGCTTGTACCAGTTCTGACGAGTGATGGCCGTGTCGGCAATATGGATCTTCTTGGGGTCACCAGCCCGCGGGCGAGAAGCGTCTGCAGGCTTCGCGGACATGTTGCCGGCCTTGTTGCGTTTCTATACAAATCCTCTAATTTCAGGTCGGAGGTATATCTGCGAGGAAATGACGTCCGCACTTGGTGGTTGCCAAAACCGAGGAAGGTAAGGCAGGTCGATGGGGGGAGGAGCAAGGCTCTTAAGAGGAAAACACGAAAACGAAAGAATTAAAAAGAGAATAGAAGACGGAAGAAGGTGGGGAAGAAAGAGGCGTGAAGGCGAAAAATTAGTGAAGCAGTGGGAAAGCACAGGGCGAGGAGAACTTGATTGTTCGACTTCACCCCAGGGTCCACAAGCCGATGATGGTTGGGGCAACGAACGGATTGAGATTCGGACAATGCAGGGCGGAGAGGTGTTGCTATGATGAAAGCAGACGGGATGGGGATGGACGGAGAAGGATAACAGGTGGACTGATAATCGTCAGATGCCTGTGAATCATGAGGTTCCGAGGTCAAACGGCGACTGAGAGTACTATTCTCATTCTCATCATCAAACCGCCAACTTCTGTCAATGTTGATGCCTTCAACTGTCAAATCTGCAACCAACCATACAAAACCCAGGCATAGAGCGATTACCGCTATCAGGGCCATAAGCTACCTAAGTTGTTGGGCGGACGCATCTGATGGCGAATCGACGGCTAGATTCTTCCTCTTTCGGACTAGGGGCCATGGAATCCACCAATCAGCGCACAGTCGCCTTCTGTTGAATCCCCAACACTTTTTCTCTGAGGTGCCCTTGCAGTTGCACCTACAGACTGTGGCTGAGTGGCTGATGACCCCTTTGGCCACTCGCTGTCTGTGGCGGGTGCTTATTCCGATCAAATAATAGAGGAGACTGTCTCTAACCTAATGGCTCAGTTCTCCGCAACACATCTTATTAATGAACAGTCAGGAGCTAGGACGTCTCATTATTCGAGTCTTTCAATCATACTCCGTAGGATAGAAAAGCATTCAAAAATGAAATAATAGGCATTTCACATGACTGCTGTTGCCTCAGGCAGTAGGAAGCTTGCACTGATCATACAGGTAGAAGTAGATGATAACACTACATAATTAACTTTCATGAGATCATAACTACGCACATGGGATGATGTTATTATTATTATGCCTGCTATTTATAGCCTTCTAGAATGATGGCTGCGCCAGTGGTACTGACATACCGACAGCCATACGAAGAAGAATAAAACGGTTTGTGCCGGTAGCATTATTACTGTATAATCATCCCAGTGCGATTCTCACACATGAGGCCAAGTTGCAGAATCTGAAGATTGGGAGGATGGGTGCGTTTAAGCTTCTTTGGGCAGATTTGTCTCATCTCTTTGGTACCTGGACATACCCTTCTGCAGTGCATCCGAGTGCATGAGGACTTTTAGACACTTAGAACAAGTCAGCAAGATTCAGGACCCATATCATCGACTTCTACGTTCTTGATCCTGCAGAGCAACTGCGCCTCTCGAGTCAGCTGCTCTAGCCATGCAAACTTCCAAATTCAAATGCCTCACGCAAAGAGGCATCGTATTGCTCCTTATCCTTCACTTTATGTTCAATAAACTTAAAGGCATTGAACGTCCAGTAAGGCATAGTGATTCGCCAAAAAGCTGGATCGTCGTGAGTCTTAGAAAACCTCGGTTGAATATGGTCATAAAATATCGTGAACAATGCCGTGGGACTACTGAGCGCTAGAGAAAACCAAAATGTCCCTCTCTCCCATCCCTCCTGCAAGATGGGGTAGAGGCGGAATGGCAGCTTGATCTTAATTTCCTCCTCTGAGAGAGCCTCCATGAACTCTTTGTGAAGAATTTTGTAGTCATCCATGCTGATCAAATCGATAGCCTGGTTCGTCAACCAGTATGGAGGTTGAATCATTTCCACTGGGTGAGAGCATGCCCACTCCAGATCGATAAGGCACTCGATGTTCCAATTGTCGTCGACAAAGATGTTGGTCTGGTTAAGATCAGCGAGGTTAAGAACGAAAGGGCCTCGAAGGAGATCTCGGCGAAAAAAACACGGCCAGACACTTCTCATAACCATCAGTGCAGATGTCTGATAGAGACCATCTTCCAGACTGTTGATTGCATTAGGCTGGTGGCGAAGACGACTTTCATGGAATGCAAGGATATCATTGACATAAGAGTCGACAGTGGTGTGAGTAATATTTTGGGGCATGTCAACTGGAATATGTTCATTTTCCAGTTGTTGGATTTCAAGGGTAAGGGGCCTGTTACTCAAACTCAAGAACCCATTTTCATCTAGAACAAAGGACCCGATCTTTGGCAAAGGAGTACGTGCCAAAGCTAGCATGATGCGGGAGATGCTATGGAAAAGGTTCTTGCGCAATTTGAGATTATGGCGGCTTTCCTCCCATGTTTCAGAAAGCATCTTGCCCCGCGATGGTTTGATATATTCAATCAAAAGATAGGGTGTGCCCAGCGCAATCTGATCTTTGGTCCGATGTTGAACATACTGGGATGGAGTCGGATAGCCTAACCAATTCAACAGTCGGCGGCGCAAACGTTGAACAGTCCGGGCTATAAAAGGCAGGTTGTCGAGAATTGTGAACTAGGGGCTGTAAGCAATAGTTCTTCTTCGAATATACGTAAAGTTGGCATACTGTTTGGCCAGTGGATAGCCCAAACCCATAAAGGCGTGGGATAGGAACAGACGGACAGTTTTCTTGGAGCCATGCGTAGGTCCCAACTTCACAACGAACCTTCTCATCCGCATTACCGGGGCGGCAGTTCTCTCCAATTCGGTAAGGCAAGGGAAATCGGATCATCACCTATTTCCCAGCATCTTGTCCTTGGCCATCAACATCAATTCGAATACAAACATTGAAGCTCCCGTGTATCCAGTCATCCACATCAACATGACATATGTCTGCAGAAGCGAGGCCGAGATGGTGGGCGGCAATTGTCGCGATCAGTCCGCGATTTCGGTACAAGTGGGTAAAAAATCGAATCCTTTGATCCCTGTAGCCTAGCTGGTGGAGGATATTGGCATCTTGTTCCTTTGCAGCTTCGTATGTGATCTCGCCACGAAGCAAGCGAAGAGGTTTTAGCGTGGCAGGAGAATCATGACCCTGAGACATTCCTTCGAAACGAACGCTTCCACTGTTTTTGAAGGACGAAGGAAATTGAGACCGGACCAGATCAGCCAACAATTCGGTTGAAGCTGAATCTTGTCCATCTGGGAGGACAGAATAGGGGTTGACACAATGCCATGTCGGGAAAACAATTTTCCTTTTCGAGTTGTCGAGGTGGTTACCTTCCACGTCTAAGAATGACCTGCAGCATCTTCCTGGGTTCATAGAGGGATATGTTTAGCCGATGTACTAGACCGTGGAGAAAATCATAAAGGGCAACCTTATATGATCTACAGAGTACGTAAACTTCTATTGTTTCCTAACCTTGAATAGAATAAGTAGAACATCAGACATTAATGCACTATGGTATTCTCATGGTCCGCCTAGTAGATAGAGAGGATAGTATCATGGTTTAGATGTGACTATGGAGTATGGAGTAGACTACCGGAGTACTACTACTAGTCTTAAATCGCACTGTAAGCTCATTCTATTAGTAACTACAATTATGATCATAGGCCAGCTATTATTTTTGATCGGATCCATCCCTCTATGCCTCTATGGATCGCTAAATCGACTAGATGGCTTCTGGATCCTGACTGCAGTAAATCTGACAATTCTCTATCTAGATGCCCAGGCACATATCTGTTTCTCAAGGTCATTCTCGATGTCATGGCAGCTTGGGGGATAGTCAGATGTCTTTCGGCACATAGCTATCAGAGTCCTTGCAAGTTCGGCGCCCCCCGCCTTTGCTGATAAGACGGCTGGGTTTGGATTTTACATGAACCGTGACTGTCAGCCAGAGCGGTTCTTATCAGCCTCCATGCGAGTCAAGCGGAGCAGTTCCACATGGAAAGACTCGAACCGTGGTTAATGGTTAGTCCGCCAGTGCAAAACCACTTGGATTCCCGAAGACTGCCTAGCATCGTCGCTAACTACGGCTAAAAGAGTGCTTCTTCCACGCGACGCGAGAGATAACCGTCCATCGGGATGGCATTATTCGATTGATTCACGCATCCCGATTCTATCAGCTTTGATAGAACCCTATCGCCGTCAACGCTTCTAGGTCCTCATCTAATCTCGTCAATTTTCGCGACAATGCTCATCCTATATAGGACACACTGGTTCCGTTCAGATTGCGGGCCCAGAATCCCCAGATTCACTTTATTCTAAGCTGCTCCATTTGATCCAGTCAAGATTGAGTCATTGACCGGTTTCAAGATTTCGCTTCCCCGCACATCGTGTGTGCCACAGCTGCAGAAGAAAACTCAGAACGAGCCACCACCTTACACTTCACATTTCACAGTCATTGTGAACATTAGACTTGAAATCATCCATAGGACGGGCCATTCGACAAACCCTTCGCTACATCATCCACCATGGACGGTCCCGATCAAATCGGTCCTGATCTCAGTCCCAAGCGGACTTTCCGCGATAAAGCTCGACGGATTGTGAAAACATGGACCACCAAGTCAGTTGGCTAGGAGCACTCGTGCCTCTCTCTTATCATTTATGTATGCTGATTCATGCATGATTATCAACAGAGAAGGATTGGTTGGAGACTACAACTACGCCTATCTGTTCACACCGAGAATTCCCTTTACCAAGAACATCAGAAGGACGGCGCCTTTCTTTGGACTGCACGACAGATTACCTGTGCTGCTTGCCTTCATTTTGGGTCTTCAACATGCTCTCGCAATGCTGGCTGGAGGTAAGCTCAGAAATGTCATCCATTAAACTGTCACTGACTAATTGTTACAAGTCATATCTCCTCCCATCATCTTGGGCGGTTCTAGTGGTGCCAACTTCGGAGATGCCGAATACCAGTACCTCGTTTCCACGTCCTTGATCGCCTCCGGTCTGCTATCCGCTGTTCAGATGGCCCGCTTACGCATCTGGAAGACTCGATACTTCATTGGTACTGGCTTGATATCGGTCGTCGGCACCTCCTTCTCCACCATTACCGTCGCTTCGGGAACTTTCTCTCAGATGTATGCGTCTGGATACTGTCCCACGGATGCCAACGGCAACAAGCTGCCCTGCCCAAGAGGTTACGGTGCTATTCTGGGCACGGCTTGCTTGTGCTCTCTACTTACGATCGGCCTGTCCTTCATGAGCCCAAGGATCTTGAAACGCATTTTCCCGCCTATGGTGACTGGTCCTACGGTTCTGTTGATTGGAGCAAGCCTCATCGAAAGTGGCATGAAGGACTGGGCTGGTGGCTCTGGCTGTGGCTCGGATCCGTCCGCTCGTGCTTTGTGTCCCAGCGCTGGTGCGCCACATGCCCTCCCTTGGGGAAGTGCGGAGTTCATCGGCCTCGGATTCCTGGTTTTCGTGACGATCATCCTTTGCGAGCGATTTGGCTCTCCTATTATGAAATCGTGCGCCGTCGTGGTCGGTCTTCTGGTCGGATGTATCGTGGCAGCTGCCTGTGGCTACTTCGACAGATCGGGCATCGACTCTGCGCCCGTTGTATCATTCATCTGGGTGAAAACGTTCCCATTGACTATATACGCGCCTCTGATCCTTCCGTTCCTCGCACTCTATATCGTTATCATGATGGAATCGATCGGCGATATCACTGCGACATGCGATGTCTCCCAGCTCGAAGTCGAAGGTGCCGAGTTCGATTCGCGCGTCCAGGGTGGTGTTCTGGGCAATGGATTGACCTGCCTGTTGGCCGGACTCTTCACCATCACCCCCATGTCGGTCTTTGCTCAGAACAACGGTGTCATTGCTCTGACAAAATGCGCCAACCGCAAGGCCGGGTACTGCTGCTGCTTCTTCCTCGTTGTCATGGGCGTCTTTGCCAAGTTCGCTGCCGCCATCGTGGCTATCCCCAAGCCCGTTCTGGGTGGCATGACCACGTTTTTGTTTTCGTCCGTCGCCATCTCCGGAATCCGTATCATCTCTACGATCCCATTCAGCCGCCGCAACCGGTTTATCCTGACGGCCTCTTTCGCGGTCGGCATGGCTGCTACACTGGTCCCCGACTGGTTCGCTTACTTCTTCACCTATAGTGGCGATAACCATGCCCTGGAGGGTCTGCTGAACGCTGTGGAGCTCGTCATGGAAAATGGGTTTGCGATTACCGCTGTTATCGGGTTGATCCTCAACCTCATCCTTCCCGAAGATCCGGAAGACGAGGTGGCCATCGTGGAAGCTACGGCAAGCGATGCGCCGTCGGAGGAGCTGAAGGGCGCTTCAGATCCTTCTTCGGTCAAAGCAGGGCAACCATCGGGCTCTCTGGCTGTATGATCCATTATGTTACGCTGCAATGGCTGAGAATGCATAACTGCGCGTGCGACAGGTTGTTTTGATGTTCTTTCTGGATACCCTTCTTTGATACTGTTTTTCCGAGGTATATATAATTTTAACCATGATCCTCAAGCATTACTCGATTACTATGATTTCGTTCGTATTGCATTCGTAGCATGACAATGCTTTTCCCACTCATACCAATTTTTCGAGCCAAGCTATTTCCAACAGCTGGACTACACCCCTTCCACGATCTCGCCCGGTTTCAACAACTTGATATAACAATGCTCGCCCGTCTCTAGCACGGAGACAGTATCGCCCACGCGAATGACAAATTCTAATCAACGGTCAGTAAATCAATGCTTTCATCGCCCGAGACGGCACTAACCCTGTACGGCAGGAACACACTGCATCCCCAAACACGCATTCGTCGGGTCTCCAGGATCAATACGCCTATAGCTCTTCAGCGTCCTATCCGGCTCAGACGCATGCCGGATGCCCGTGGCGGGGTCAACATTCGGCAGCCGACAGCGCATCGTCCGACAGGCAACATGCATCTCGACCCCAGCGGCACTCTTTACCCCGTTTGCTCTGAGCATAATGCGCTTCCAGCCATCCTCCGCAAACGCCTCTGGCCCTTGGACGATGATGTTCGCCCGGAATCGCCGCACAGAGAGCCGGGGGATGTCCCGTGCACATCGCGCCGCAACGTCATGGACACTCGCGATATTGAGGATATGCAGGGGATACGCATCCGCGAACCCGGTCACGGGCTGGAACCCCAGCTCCGCTTTGCGAGGCGCGTTGCGGAAGACCTGCCGGTGGTGCCTGGGGTCAATGCGGAAGAGGGTGAGAGGACGAGAGACGCCGGCGTCTGGGGGGGCTAGAAACTCCCGCAGGGACTGCGGAAGATGCCGGCCGTAGTCGTAGGCCACCGGGGTATCTTTCCAGATCTTCACCGGCACGGAAGGGTAAGCGCTGGCGCGGTTTGGTGGTGGAACGAGCGGAACGCTGAATGACAGTTCCCGGGGGCCCAGACGCAGGGCTACCCCCAACTTGACCAGGAATGACGAGAGACCTCGACCAGCTGGTCGGGGGTAGTACATGACCATGACACCCTGGGACCTGACCTCGTCCAGATCAGGCACATAGTCGGGGGCAGTGGGATCAGGAACCCAGATCTCAGGCCGGATGAGCGTCAGCCGGCTATAATGACCATTGCGGAGGGTCCGCACATCCCAGTACGGCTGCGCCTTGCCATCGTTGGCGCTCGCTTGGTCAGGCGTGAAGTGTTCCGCGAAGCAGAACTGTCGGTCAAACGCGAATCCAGTCGATACAACATCGGCGACGTCCAACTCCACCGCAGCGCAGCTTTTGATGGGATGGGTGAAGAGTGCTTTAATACGCCATGCAGCCTGGCCTTTGTCATCGACATCGCTCGAGGCTCCTTGGCTATACTTGGGGTCGAATTCATCACGTAGATTGGTTTGGCCTGGTGGAAGACCTAGCCTGCGGCATCCTCTTGGTTGCGCTGTGTGGGTGGAGCCATATTGGCGGACAATGAAAATGCATATGGGTAAAATTGAAAGCAACAAAATGGCTGCAGTCGACAGTAAAGTCTTCACAGCATCTTGTTGGGAGTTGGTGAAGCTGAATGTACTTTCACTCAGCATTGACGAGATGTGCTTTCCAGAAGACCTGAGGAGTCACCAGCGAAATTGTAAGCTCAGCAGCAGCCGTGAAGACCTTTCCTAATACTTGTCTTGTATAATTAATCGAGGAGTATAAAGCATTCGACGAAAGCAAATAATTGTGGAGATGAGTCAATCGATGGGGGCGGAATCGGAATCCCTTAACATCCACAATCAAAAATCTCCGCGATGGACTTGGCGAATCCACTACTCTGATCAACCATCTAATTCGGTGGACAGCAACCAAATATATGCTTCAGCAAAGGTTGGACAACGTTAAGCTGGGCAAACTGGAAAAAATGCAAGATCTGGACTGCAGTTATGTCCTAAATCGTCAACTACCTTTTCCTCCTGAATCCGCCATCTTGCGTCTGGTCACCGCCTGTTAAGTGCCACGATGAGCACGCAGGATATCCTGGGTCTGTCCAGTCAAGATCCTGGTAGGTTATTGGCCCTGAAGTTTTCCTGTGATATGTTGCTGATTTCCATTGTAGGTCGCGTCATTTCATTCCCTGCATCGCAGTATCTGCACGCGTCAACCGCGTCTCCAGTTCCTGGTGCAATTTCAACAGGACTCCCTCGGCTTGACGAGGCGATTAGCCAGGTTTCTTCCGATGAGCCTTCACAGTCGTCGAGTGAGGCGAGGCTGGGGGGAATTCCTTGTGGTCATGTCACCGAGGTGTTCGGGCCACCTGGAGCAGGCAAAACAGCGCTGGCGTGAGTTTAACCTCAGATGAACTGGCCCTCTGGTGAACCGACTAGGCGTAATTCTGACTGTATATCTCAGAATGAGCGTAACTTCAAACGCTCTGTGTCACGGTGGTAAAGTCGTTTGGATTGGTACGACATCTTTGACCTTTCAAGATTATCGCTGACAGTTTAGATACTACCTCGCCACTTCCAAAGCTACGTCTGAAGAGCATGCTCAAGCAGAATCTCGACACAGCCAAATCGTCCGATATCGACAATCTAATCTACTTCCGCGCTCAGTCCCTGCCACATCTGCTAGCGCTTCTGCTCCACCCACCACAAGGATTCCCCCCCGAAAACACCAAGCTTCTGGTGCTTGACTCTGTGTCAGGGCCGTTCCCTTCGTACTTTCTGAGTCCGTCCGAGTTGAAATCCCGTCTGGCGCAGGCGAAGATCACGGACAAGTCTCAGGTCCAATGGCTCATGAACCGAAGATGGAACGTCACGAGCGAACTGGCAAATCAGCTGATGAAGCTGGCGGCTTCAAGACAACTGGCCGTCCTTCTCGTCAACCAAACCCACACAAAGATCAAAGGGCAGCCACGTGCTACCCTTGGCCCCCTGCTTGCGGGTGGCGCGTGGGAGAATAGCGTGTACACCCGCATTGTCCTGTATCGCGATCTCCCGGCCGTTGACGATGAAGAATCAGAGATGGCTTCAAGGAGTGTGCGCTACGCAGAAGTCTTGAAGAAAGATGGCAGGGTATTGACAGTGAGGTCGGATGAGAACATCGTACCGTTCACAATCGACTCGGTAATCATCACCCTATAGACAATCCGGATTTCGTCAACAGCCGACTGACATGACGGAAACAGGGTTCTCTACGTGGGACGGACACGACTCAGCCGTCTTGTGCTGTTCCACAGCAGCCAGTTGAGGAGTCTTTCCGTGCGGGTGGGCGGAAGCGGAAAGTGGAGGAGATTGCGGACAGTCAGGATGAGGACAATTCCGACGAGGACTTTGGATGGATTGATGGCGACGATGCCGGCTTGGTCGAAGGGCCTGCTGACGACTCATGAACTCACAGTACTCTCCCCGGAGGTACTGGCAGGAACCTCGCTACTTGTTCCACTTCTGGTCATTTTCAATAAATGGCGTCCGAGTTCTAAGACATACAAGCGATCATTGGAAGAACATCCAATTACTACGCCGTCAATATCAGGTACAACTACCTCATCATGAAACGCTATAATATGCTACAAGTATCTCAAAAAACGTCATTAACGAATCGACATGCCACCTCAATCATTACAAAGGATATTAGGACTAATGGCTCAAGCCGTCCTTCGGTTACCATCTTCATGTGACCGCTGCTCAACCCATGTTGAAAACTCAGTCATGGCCAGGATCTTGCCATCTGGAATTTGCCCATTGAAACTCTCAGTGGTTGCCCTCTTGATCTTCTCAGCCTCGGCGTTGTTGATCGCCGAAATCTCACATATGTTGACATCCCCGTTCATACCAGGCTGGACAGCGCCATTGTTCGGGCCCGCATTGAATTCCAAGGAGCAGAGGTGGACGGCATCCCTGCCTATCATGGGACGTCTATGTCCGTGTATCACATCAACGAGCCTGCCAAGGACGGCGAACTCCAACTTCAGCTTGAGGCTATATATCGCGCCTTTCAGTGTAATCTGGACAGCGTAGTAGCTGGCGTACTCGAGGCCCAACAGGGCCAAATCCATTAAGACGATCAATATATTGATACCCACGAGCTGGTGCATGATCCTCTGCTTATCCTTGTCCGATCCCAGCCGGAGCAGCTTGACCGTCTCCCATACATAGAGACCCGAGATGATCACCTCTTGTATCGTGAAGCCGGTCATCTGGAGCTTCTCCATGATATTGTACCCTTGCACGAATACAGGCGATCGATCGACAACGTTGGATCCGTACGTCAGGACCGTGGTAGGGATATGCAGGAAGAAGACGTTCGCGATGATCATCACCAGCACCCGCCGCAGGATACGCTCATCGCGAAGGACAAGGTGCAGGCGCGAGTAGAGCACAAACGCCTGCCCCGTCACCATTGTCCACCACCCCACGCTGAGCATCGTGACCGACAAGGTAGAATTTGCGGAGGTGAAGAATTTGAGCAGAAATCCCAGCGAGTACGGGACCACCCCGAAACATCCGGAGAGAAGCAAGCTCCAGAAATACAGGCCTCTCCAACGTCGGAACGTCGATAGCACGAGCACGACGAGCTCAACGACATTGTAGAAGGAAATGGCGCTGAAGATGAACAGAGTCGCTTTGAGCCCGTCTCTGTGGTTCGCAAGCTCACCCGAGATACCGTCCAATGGATCTTGTTTGGTCGACATCTCACGGCTTTATGAGTGCTTTGCCATTCACATCCAACGATGGAATGTCTTTTGCTGAGTGTCTGGAGTTAGGACATGGATATAGGACAGGTCGCAGTACGAGAATCAGAAACCCACAGAGAAACAAGCATGAAACTCAACCATTCGAGATTGTCCCAGCAGACTACGAGACTAAAGTCTCAACTGCAGACTGTATCTTCTCTCGCTTCTGCAGGCCGTCTCTCGTATCTTTTCAGTATGCTCTCCTCGCCCAGAAATCACCAACACATTAAATCCAAGCGTAGATGCCTGGTCCTATCCAAACAAACCCAGCGACGAAATATTCATGACAAAAGCGAACCTCAAGTAGCGAACGGAGAACATGAAATGTAGACCCAGAAACAGAAGCGAAATTGAACAGCCACCCAGGGCATATCACGCACAGTGCTCCTCAACACTGGGGTAGTACAATTCACTCTCCCGTCGGAGATAAATCCTCCCCTAATTGCTGTGTACCCTGGATTCCTGCTTCCCCTTTCCCCCAAGCAAACAATGATCGAATGCAACTGCAAGCGTGTGATTAACGCGGGAAAGGGTCGTAGAGCCTCCCTTCCAGCTATTGCATCGTGACTTTGCGTCTAGGCCTAGATAGTCAGGGGGGCGCGAAACTCTACCTAGGACCGGGCTTATGTTGTGTTTAGAACCGACCAATCCTTCTGCGGATAGTACCAGTGCGGTGGCATCCTTCACCCAAACATGGGTTGCGCTGAAGGAAAAAAATTATCCGAGCCTCGAGCATGCCTCATTAGTGGTCATTGTGGGGGAAGGGAACTTGACGCAGCTACAATACCATTGACGGGGGAGGTAACCGGACGAGGCATTTCATGGATTTAGGCTGCGTTGTAGGACAGAGCATGCATTAGCCCGTTCATTGGCGCGTCGAGTCCCCATAAGAGGTTACATGAGTTGGGAAAAGAGCTGTCGATGCTGGCATGATCCCTCTCTGAGTTTGCTTTATGGCTGTAGAACGGGCCTCCAAATGCATCATGCATTGGGAGGGCCATTTGGCTGTCAGTGTGTGCAACTGAGGGATCAAAAGTACGGAACCATTGATCGATATCAGATCATACATTGTGAGAGGGTGAACGCATGCTTGCGACCCTATCCGGAGAATTAAACTGTACAATATACAGAAATGCCCTAATTTGCGACGGCTGCACTTCATTCGTGTGGTTTATCTATGAGACTGCGGAAGTCATAGCGTACCTCAGTCATGCCTTGATTTCCAGGCATAGCTCAACTTGGCGATTGAGTGCGCTACCAGAGTTCGCAAGCATCCTTGGGGTGTCCACTGAAAGCCAACAGGCAATGCTCGTATGAAATTGGTCATTAGGTCGCAGGGACCTTGTAGAATTCAAGAATCGTCTATTATGCTACAAGGCTTGCCAGAGTTGAATAACCGTACCAGCATAAATCCATCATAGATTGGTGAGATAATCCTCAATCTCCTCTTTGGTCAACTTCCTGAACCGGGGGCCTTTGGCTCCTTCAACGCCTTCATAACCCAAAAGATGATCCGCAGGAGGGCCAACGATACCTGCGTAAGTCAGCTCTGTGTTTCTTAAGCGATACTTTGATTCAGATAAGGAGAACCCACCGATTTCTATTGTGTCTCCGTTCATCTCACCCTCGATGGTCTCTTTCAGAGTCAGAAGGGCGATGTGGATGGCATCTTCAAGCTCCAGCCCCTCTGTGTAGCGCTTCTCGAGGAACGTCTTGGCGCTAGTTGCATGCTTTCCAATGGCCGTGGCCTTCCAGGGATAGTAACTGCCGCTGGGGTCGACCTGGTACAAGCTCGGACCGCCCTTCAGGATACCACCAGTTTTACCAGTAGCCTTCTTGAGCTCGCCCTCCTCATCACCGCGTTGAGCTTCCCCTGTTTCGGGCTCAATACCCTCATCCCAGCCAGCAATCAGCAAGCTGACACCGTATGGTCGGACACCACCAGACTGTGTTGCTTCCTGCACGACACGTGCAACGTCTTGCACCAGTATCCGAGTCGGAGGGTACTCGTTATAGATGCGCTTGTAGCCAGTGTGAGAAACCTTGCGAGCCTTGTCGACTAGTACACGGTAGTCCGGACCCATTCCAGCGTAGACCATACCGATATCCGGCGTGATGAGGGAGATCTTGGAGAGGGAGGGAGGGTCAATGAGGGGGGAGGACGATTTCTTTTCGGTAGCGAGAACAATTCCATTTGTTGCTAAGGAAAGCACGAAGATTAGAAGCTATTCTGGGTAGCTAGCGCAATCAGACGATTTGAATGAAGCTTACCTTTGATTCCGAGGGCAGTTACGCCTTGGTTGACAGCGTTCAAGGCATATTCTAGATTCAATCAGCATTGCAACCTCATGGAATGTGATCCAGCGCAGTACCAATTTGCACCAGCTTCCCACTGTAATCTATTGTTAGCATCCCATGATCTTAAGTGTCACCTGCAACAAGCTCCTCTTACCTGGGGGAGAAGGTGGTCAGAGAGAATGAGTAGCGATCAGCCATGGAGACGTCTTTTCACCTCCGGAAGCTGTGAACAAGGAGGTAGAACTTTAAAGGAGATGGACAAGGTAAGTATGAAGATAAAATGAGGTTGTTGAAGTTCAAGTGAAGCTTCCCTTCTCCGAGCAGCAGGCGACAGGATGTTGACGCAGCAGCTTAGGTCCATCCGCCCAGTGCCAAGCCGTGTCTGGGGCGGTGACGATACAAATGCCAGAGCTGGCTTACGCGAGCAGCTAGTGCACTTTTGCTGTGTTTGCCTAAGGCTCCTCCGCTCTCGAAGCTCCACATGGCTTCTTTTAAGCTGGTTGAGGGTTTTTTCCTTCCCATTTCTCTTCCTTTCTCGCTTCATTCCCACAAATACACCCGAACACACTTGTATTTACACCACCTGAGCTCTCGCTGGATGCTCTCGCATCAGATCTCTGGTAGATTTGGTTAATATGTTGTGACTTGAGCTTTTGAGGATCCCATTGCAGTATGAATGTGCATAATGAGCCACTCTGGCAGTGGCCTTCCAGCGTTCCTTCTAATACTTCATTGAACTCGGAGGCAAGCCAAACACCTCAAGACGCTCACCAGTCCAGTGACGAAAACACGACATCTGAACGCCCCGAGTCTCCCAAGAAATACTATCCCAATCGTACTTGTCGCATCTGCTTGGAATCAGTCCCTCCCACCCTTCATCCCCCTTCGGAAAACCTGCCAGGTTTCCTCCAGTCCAAGCCGCGAGTTGTCTATGAGTCTTCTGATCCAGAGCTTGGCCGACTCCTTCGACCCTGCAAATGCAAAGGATCTTCCCGTTACGTTCACGAGGGATGCCTTCAGTCCTGGCGGCATGCAGATCCTGATTATGGAAAGAGAAACTATTGGCAGTGCCCAACCTGCGGGTTTCGGTACAGGCTAGAACGTCTGAAATGGGCGCACTGGATCAGTAGTGCATCTACCCAGATTGTATTAACTTTGAGCATTTTGTTGTTTACAGTGTTTTTGCTTGGTTTTATTGCTGACCCCATCATCAATCTCTATGTGGACCCGGTGGAAACGATATTTTACACGGAATACTGGGAGTCTAGTACTGTTTCTGGCGTCTTGCCGACCGAAACAAGGACGTCTTGGGTAGAGCATTTCGTGAAAGGATTGGCCTCGCTGGGTGTTTTGTCCTTCATCAAGGCCATACTTGCATTGACTCCATGGCAGTGGTGGAATTTGCGCAGTTCAGGCGTTGTCAGCAGTGGGAGGACCACCGGCAGGAGTCGAGCGGCTTCTATTAGTTGGATAGTCATCCTCGTTGGTGTTGGTAGCTTCCTCTGGGTAGGTCAGCGCGGCGAAGGATAGCACTTCATCGATCACTAATCGCATTATACAGGCTGTTTGGAAAGGTGTTAGAACTTGGAGTCGCAAGACACTGGAGAAAGCCGGCGAACGCGTCATGGACGTTCCATTGCCTGACGACGATGAAGAAGACGAGCCATCCACTTCTGCCGAAGGACGTCAGTCATCGAAGGATGACTGAATGCGCTTGACCCTAGTATCGTCCGAAAAACCCAACGCCCTCAGTAATCCTCCACGCACTACTTTGAGTTGTCACGCTCCTGTCAATGAGGTGCCAATCAGTCAATGTGCGGAGATCGATACTGATCCTCGTTAACTTCTGGGTCTCGTTTGTGAAGCAGAGCATCTGGAACAGGGCGTTTTGTCCTCTCCTTCTTTGCTCTGTTTCGTGAAACAGACGTGCCGAGAGGGAGGATCAAACTGCATTTTGACTCGATCCGTTTGGGGCGCTCCAGCAGTGGGCGTTTCTAGATTGAGGTGCGGTACATCATACTGTCATATAGTGTAGTTGTCAATCTATTCTCTTCCGTGATATTGATTCGGTGCTTGAATGCGTAATATTTGCTGATACCGATTCGCATCCCTAGCAGCCCACGAATGCTTGTCGTCGCTGCCATAATTGTCGCAGTAGTCTCGACTGCCATACATCATACTCAAGTCTCAAATCCTTCAAATTTAATGCTGCGGCTGCTGCCCAAGACGCAGGATCTGAATGCGACTCAGAAAATTCGTGGTATTTGACCATGTTCCTGCGCCGTCAATGCATGCTTGCACGGTACACGAGTTACTCGCCCATTAGCGAATCTTTTCGCGTGACTTGTTGGCTAGTGCGACGGACATCCACTGCAGAGACAGAGATATAAGACGAATCGCTGCTTGATTTCAGCGAACTCAGTGGAAACATTATGGCGGTAGAAATACGGGGAAACTGTGCCCTTGCATGGCATATTGGGTTTGGTGCTCTCCCTCAATATCTATATGCTTCGGCTTTCGTATAGCAGTCCATGATTACTTACTTTGTATACAGACGGCCAAGTTCCTCTACGGCTATCAAAAGAAGACGGCAGTATCTTGCCTGGTGGGCACGGTTCAGTTGACCTGACTCGCAGTGGAACGCACAAACTGTATCCCATGAGGGTTTTGAAGACTCGTTCGCACTGAGCTAGTGGTCAAAGTCTTGAAACATAGGAATTACTTTTTTGGGTTAAACAAGATCAAGATCAGTCCCTTATATACTGATTATGTGTTACTCTTCAGGAATTCCTTCTTTGAACCTCTTTTTGATGGAAACATACAGTGAGACTCCTCTATACAATTGGAACTCCCGTCACTGAGATGGAGTTCTCCGGTCCTAGACCACTTTCCAGTGAATAGTCTGAGGTGATCTCTAGGATAAACAAACTCGCGAGTATTCACAGTGATATGATCTCGCTTATCCAAAAGCACAGCTTCCCTAACCTTCTCTTTTAGAAAATATTCCTCCCAGTGTCCCTCTTAACCTTCTTATTTACATTATTACTCTATTCCTTTGACTATCTACATCTCTACACTCTCTCTATCCTAGAACTGTGAACTGATACTGTGATCTCACCATGGGGGATCTACGCCGAGATGAACACATTTCTCACAGTCAAACTCGCGAGAATACAACTAATCCCCTCTCTTCTGAGAATCCTCAACATCGCGAACTAGGCAGCTACACTGATGCTTGTCGTGATCTTGAGCAGCTGCTGAAGGCCCATGTAGAGCGCATCAAGAGACAGCTCAGTGCTGGGGGCACGTCTCAGACCCCAGACGCGTCTTCTCAGACTGTCCAAGCTGGTCCTTCTGACGCCATACAGGGCCAGCCGAGTGCCTCTGAGCCTTCTGCCCCCATTACACCTACTAAAACGCTCTCGGCTCCCGCCTTGACCAACGGCCACACTCACATTCACACTCCGAACAGTGGCAACAGTGAGGGTCAGGCTGTGAAGGGTCCGGCTGTGAATCAAGGTCTTGTTAGTCCCGCTGTCTCTGTTGCCAGTGCTGCAACGACTTGTGAGCCCTTCCCCGACTACTACGAGTCCTGCGAGAAAAACCCACCCACGGTCGACAAAGCGCACGAAGCAGCTTACAACTACGCTATCTCCAAGGTTGTCGAGGAAGCGACTCGTTTCAAAGATATTGACACCAGCGTCCCCAATCCTCCTGTGCTCAACGCGGCCACTGATCCTGTTGTGAAGGGCAAATCTACCACCCCAAGCGCAAAGACAACCCTTCGCAACTCCAATAAATCCTCCATCGTACCCATGCCTCCAATTCGCCCACCCCTCACTGAGGACGAGATCAAGGAAAGAAAAGCGAACCTTCTTCAAGAGATGAAGGAGATGATTCCTAGCGGCAAGATCCCAGCCGACCTCATGCGTCGTTTCGTCGCGATGACCAACGCGCTCCTCCAAATGGAGATGATTCTCTTTCATCGTCAGAACGCTGACTCCAAGCCTGAAAACTTGTTGTCCGCCGAGGAAACAGAGAAGATACGCGTTATGGCAAGCGAAATAATCAAGTATCTCACTCATCTGAACCAGAACCTCAAGAAGCAGGTAGACAAGGGCAAGGAAGTGGCGTTCGCCATGACCGAGATCGCGGGATATCGTCAAGCCACGGTGTACGAGCGCTATGCTCGCATGGCTCAGGTGTTCAATGAGTAAGTTACCTCCAAATATACGACACCATCCTTCGTCTCAGATCCAACTGACCTCCCGTTTCAATCATAGGAACCTCAAGAAACCCAGCGACAATGAGCTACGCCTGCTTACCGTCTTTCTCGACCTGTACGACACGATCATCTACACCCGCTTCCTGACGATGCGCTTCAACGGCCAGCTCATCCTTGAGGAAAATCTCAACAAACAACGCGCGGAACTGTCGCAGCTACTGGGTTCGCTCTGGGATATCCATTGCCACGTTATCGAGAACTACCAGAAGATCATAAACGGCATGGTGCACATGAAGCACAACATTGTCGCTCCGGTGCATGAGGAGCTCGCTAACAGCAAAGAGAGCTGGACCGAGCGTTGGGACGCAAACCAGCGTGCACTGGAGAGAGAGCTGGCGCTGCAGGAGCAAGACCGGCAGGAGCTCGCCGCTAGAGAGCGTCGCCAGACTTAGGTTGCTAGATGCATGCCACCAGAAGGTCTCAGGAGGAAAGATCATGGGAGGAAATGCACGGAGAAGTGTACAGAATGGTGGTGAGATGATAAGCGGATCAGAGACGAAGGGACAGGGCACCAAAAAAAAGAAGAAAAATGATTGACAAATTAACGACCGGGACGATGGAATGTATCATGAGCTCATGATTCTCATTTTGCGGAATCTAGGTACATCATAAAAACACAAAAACAGAGATAGGCAGGTAGTTTATCACATCAAGCAGAGCTATCATGATACGAACCCAGCTTAAACAACCTCTTCGCATTCTCCCTCCCAATCTTCAACCGATCCGTCAGGTTCAACTCCGCATTATCAAACCACTCACAAGCATCCGCAAACGTCTCAAAGGGGTAATCGATCGAGAACAGAATCCGATCCGCCCCAACCTCAGCCATGCAGAAATTCAACGTCGTCGTCGAGAAATGCCCCGACGTCGTGATCCACAGATTCTGCGCAAAGTACTCCCGGATCGTCTTCTTGCACGTTTCCGCCAGACCCAGCTGCTTCTTCCGGTCCTCGAACCAGTGGTTGATCCGCCACATGTCGAAGGGGATGTGCTCGCCCAGATGGCCCAGGATGATCTGGAGCTTGGGGTGCCGGTCGAAGACGCCGTTGGTCACCATGCCCAGGACGTGCAGGCTGACGCCGTGCGCGAAGCTCAGCGGCGGGCCCACGAGCCACTTGCGGTCGGCCCAGAGCTTGTCGTAGATTGTTCCGGTGGGGTTGCGTGGGTGTAGGTAGAGGGGGACGTCGAGGTCGGTGCAGGTCTGCCAGAAGATGTCCCATTCGGGCTGGTCATAGAAGATCATGTCGTCACCGTCGGGCCCGGCTCGCTGGGTGTCGTTTACCAGGGCGCCGAGGAAGCCGTGCTTTTCTACGCAGCGGCGGAGCTCGTCTGCTGCTTCTTTGGGGTTGTGCATAGATAGAGTTCTAGAAAATGAATATCAGGCATTGAATTCAGGGAGGACGATAGAAAGTGGAAGGGAACGTACGCAAAAGCTCCAAATCGATCCGGGTTCGCTTTGATCTGCTCCGCGATATAATCATTGATCTCAACTGCTAACGCCTGTGCCTCTTCGGCATCCCAGATATCTTGGACACCAGGCGCCGTGTAGGAGAGGATCTGGTAGCCGACGCCATGCTTGTCGGCGTGTTCGATACGGATCTTGCTGATGTCGGTGATTTCCTTGACATGGGTTTCGGGGTCGGTAGAGAACAGACTGGCCCACCAACGAGTCTTTTCTTCGAAGCGGGGAAGCGCAAAGGCTTCCTCGAGAGCGATCTTTCCAAGCATTTTTGTACAAAATGTTGCTTCGCCTGGCTACCGCTGGCCGGATTTGTTGAACAGAGTAACACGGATTGAGCGAGTATGAGAAGGAAATGATCATTCAACAGATTATTTGGATGAACTGTTGCAAATATCGGTTCTTGAATGCTCCCGCGCTTTATACCACCTAATGCTTTGATGTAGTATGCATCATCATACCTCATGTATGGGGTGCGGACCGAAGCCGCACCCGCACCGCAGAGCCGACGGAAAGCGTTCCCACTTTTCCAGAACCTGTCACAATTCCGATGCTCAATGCATGGTAATTTATCAAGACTATTGGAGAGAACTGGAAATCAAATCATATCCTTTTCCGACGGCTGTTGATGCAAGCAAGATGGTCTGTGGGGGCCTCATCAGCCTGGTATTCCTCAACATCTAGCACGTATCTTAGGATCAAAGTGAGAATGAAGCTTTCCCTCTGGAATCTGGCCTCTCAGATAAAACGAATTCATTGTTAAGTCACTATGGTGAGAGATAATTTCGATACATATGAAGCTGATTAGCTGGATGAGTGTGTCCTTCGAAGTGCGGATTGTGCGGGGTTCTTTCAGTCACTATCCATAGACAAAGCAATGAGCCAACGACCAATCCCTTTGAAAGTAATATCCACCCCAACGGGAACAATTGTACTCCATCGGAAAGGATCCAATACTTCTAGCTTTATGATTTCTAGCAAAAAAGAATAATAGATTACGCCTCATATCATCTGATGTGCTCAGCAGCGATCCCACGGGGCTCTCAACCCCGCAAAATGGTAGATCGGACAAGGCTTGGCTATTAGGCTACTGATATAAGCGACGGCATAGTATCTATCCGTGCCTTCGTTTACCCACCCCACTTCCCAGTGTGGGTGCACCACACCATAATCACCAACCACACCGTAATCACCAATTTTTGATATTTTTCGATATTTGAAGCTATTCTTAATGCATTAGCTGGCTATTAAAGAAAAAAACCTCACTATTCTCTTCTGCTACCCTCACTGCCTTAATTAATATCTCACTCAGCTGCATAGGTAGTGGTGGTGCCTTCTTACTATACACCTTCTCCCACTACCTTTATAACCTTCTCTCCTCTACCACAGCCTCCTTAGCCTTCCTTATTACAATCAACTAATTTGCATTATGTATCTTTAATATACTAGTCTGGCTCAGTAGTTTAACCTATTACTTAGTATATTAGCGCTATAGGTGTTAGGCACAGTGAGCCTGTACGTAGCGAACCGCAGGGGTCATATGGATAGCATGTGACCCATAGAGATATTATTACCTACTAAGGGGTGAGCATCTCGCACCTTAGTAATTAGTTCACTAATAAAGGCATTACTACTACCATGCTATCTATTATTTAATTAAGAGCATTCTCTAGGTACTCTTATAGTTCTAATTACTCTACTAATTAAGATAGCCTAGTAGGAGCACTTTTCATGAATTTTACTAAGTAAAATAATTTCTACTAGGAGCACCCCTAACATAGGGTAATTATAACCTTAACTAATAACTAATAACCCTAATATCTAGATAATAGAAGCTAGTATAGCTATGCTAGTAAGGGAGTAATCTATTATTTCCTTAGATAATATAAATATACCTGCTAGTTAGCATGCTAGGGGAACCCCTAAAGCCCTTAAGTATAGTAATATTAGTAGATAGTAATCTCCTTAGATCTTAAGAGAAGATTTCTTAGCTATATAGAGATGGATTACTAAGCTAGAGTATATAGTTATAATAGTAAGAGAAAATACTCTAGGAGCTTAGTAAAATAATTATATATATATAAAGTACTATAGATATATAGAACTAATACACCACCTTACCTATATAAACTATCTAGGATAAATTAATATAAGATATACTATATAAACTAATATCTGTAAGCAGTACTATATAGATAC